ATTATTTAATTGAGGTTTAGATACAATTTGTTTATCTTGATTTTGATGATTATTATTTAACAGAAATGTTTTATCAGACGTTGAAAAATAAATTAGATGTTGATTTAATTGATTTTTAATATCATCTATTGATGAATAATGCTCTTCATTTAAATTTTCATTTAAACCACGAAGATTTTGAAATAAATTTAAGATTTTTATTAAATATTGAATTTGTTCATTATTGGATATTTCATACTGATTTGTATAGAAATCTTCAAGTGTTTTTATTTGACGAATTTGATCAAGTGAATCTGATTTTGTTTGTTCGTATACTTCACGTAAACGTTTTAATTCTTCAAGCAATGACGCATGTTGAAGTTTCAACGAATTTATTGTTTCTTCATATTCAGAATTTTGATTGTTTATAGGAGAATTTGTTGAATCACAAATATCGGATGGAGAAGTACTAATAATCACTGTTGGGTTCGAAACGATAGACGTTGTTTTAGCACCATCAGAATAGCGACTAAAGAAAAAAGGATAAAATTATTTGTTTTCGTCAGAACTCATTGAAATCAACATCTTCTTATTAATTTTTATAAAGAAATTAATTTTTAATTTTTCATAATACTCAATTAATTGAATGTTTTAATTTTAATTTTACTTACTTATTTGCCGAATGAGTAAAACCAATAAAAGGTAAATGATGTCCGGTGAAAGCTGCATGAGAAACAGGTGGAACTACATCCTATGATGATACAAAATGATACGTTAGTCAATTATATAAATTCATGAAAAGCTAATAAGCACAAAAGAAAGCCACAAATAAACACTTCAAAATCTCTACTTAAGTGTTACCTTTTTAGCATTCTGCACGAACAAAATGAAGAGCAAATAAAAACAGAATAAAATAGAAATGAAAATCATTGAACATACTTTATTAGATGGTTCAATATCATCCACATCAAAATTGGACGTATCGCTCGGACTATTGACAACAGGAACATATGGAGCAGTAGCTGTAAAAAAAAGAAATGAATACTTTGAATATTTTTCTGTTCATTTATTTTTTTTATATGAGTTAAACCTTGACGAAGATTTTCCCAATCAATTGAGGTAAAGAAAGGATGATTCTTAAAATCATCTAAGCCATTTTTCCCCAGACGAATATCAATTGAACAAAGAAGATGTTGTAATAAATCTTTTGCACTATCCGATACTTCAATATCATTTGGAAACGGTAGTGAGAGCTATACATAGTAAGAGTACAATCAATCATTTGCTAGTTATACTGTAAAAATAACTAATAGAAACAAACTTCTTTTTGAACATGCATCATAATTTTTCCATAGGTTTCAAGAAGACTTTCTGCATAAAATGGTGGTAAACCAAATAACATTTCCCACATGGCACATCCTAAACTCCACCAATCACATTCAGGTCCATAACGACCTTGACCTGCTTCCATCGCACGTAAAATTTCAGGTGAAATGTAATCAGGTGTGCCAACAGCAACATTACTTTGCACTGTTCCATCAGCTCGCATTCGCAAACAGGAACCTGAAATCATCAAGTTATATTTCAGCATAGAAAGTGAACGAAACACATTGATGTCAATGCTCACCAAAATCAGCTAAGCGGATATGTCCTGCACCATCAAGTAATACATTATCAGGTCTAAAATAAATGATCAATCAATCAATTAATTAATTAAACAAAAGCTTAATGATAATGACTTTATATCTCGATGAACATAGCCAAGTTTATGAAGCGAATCTATTGCTAAGACCATTTCTGCAACATAAAATCTAGTCATTTCTTCGGAAAAATGATCATCAAATTTTGATAATAACGTAAGTAGATCACCACCGTAATAATAATCCATTATAAAATACTAAAAACATAGGAAAAAATAGATTCAGAATATGATAAGTATTTTGATTTTACCAAATTTTCTCCATCTTGAAATGCATAATGTAATTTAGTTAACCAATGTGGATCACCAAATACAAGTACATCCCGTTCTTCACGAAAGCATGCCGTATCAGCTCGCTTCAACATTTCCCATTTGTTCAATGTTTTCATTGCAAAAACACGATCCGTATTTTTTAGTTTTACAACGGCAACTAAATTTTATTTGAACCGCTTAGCTGCTAAAATATAAATAAAATTTTCATTTACCTTCGCCAAATGCTCCACGACCAATAATTTTGATTGTTTCGAAATCGTTTCGATTGAATCGACATCGTTTTACACGTGATATAAAGGATTTAGCTATAGATAAAAAAGCAGAAATTAATTTTGTGGTTTGCTTTACCTTGATTCAATGAATCTTTACTAACCATATTCTATAAATTCAGCTATGGTTTTTTCTCTTCGTAATGTTGAATTACAACATTCATCATAAAGAACAATAAACGCATCAAGTAATGCCTCAACACCTAAGACAGTTTGATCTTTAATGGAAGAATTGAATAATAGATGTTCAAGTTCGTTTAAACGAGATTCGACATCATCATTGATATTCTCAAACATTATTTTTGTTTAATTGAATAATATTATATAATGAGAACAACAATCCATTCAGATATATACACACGTGCTTACAAACACTAATGCGTAAATTCACCGAAAATTCTCACGACAAGATGGATCATCTTTTTGTTGCTTATTGTTTGTTTACAATACAGAAGAAATAAGTCAGTCAGACTGATTGTCAAACAGGAAAGAAAAAAATATTTGACCGATCAGTTCACACGAGGCAGCCATTGGAGAATGATTAACGTTCCTTGGCGACATCTATCCATCAGGTATCTATATATCTATATAGATATATGAGAATTATTTATCTTTTTAAAATATTTAATAGTTTAGTTTATTACAGTTAGAGTTGTTGAAACTTAGCTGGTATATTTCATGTGACTACAAATCGAATAAGATTTAATTATTGTAAAAATTCGATTGAAATTTCTTGATCTCAACATTAATTTTGTATAAATATAAGGCTTTCAATAATGATAACTTACATAGTAGATCATTTAGATTACTAATAATTCTTATTCTATAAAAGTATATTATTAATTTTTCGATAAATTAAAGATTAGTGAACCTGACAGAAAACAGAAAATATATCAGTGTTCTGTGGTTGCAACCGATGTATCCTACCATCATTCGTGTCGGCGGTATCTTTATTGCATATAGACAAAGATCTAATCATTATAATTTTTTAAAGTTATTGTTATTTTGCCAAACAAATATCAGTATTTTTAGATGACAATAATTTTTGCAATGATGGTCAATTATTGAATTATGCATGTTAAATGATTTTATTAATTTTTCCAATATGACTTAGCTAATTCATCATATAAATTGTAACTCCGTAATTTAGTATCCATTCTTAAATAACTTTTATTCAGAACCTAGTAATATCCTTTTGACATATTGAGAAGCTTCGCAATATTTTATTGAAACCCTTGTTTCACAAAACATAATTAGGTTGGTATCTAAGCGCTATTTGTTTCATTTATTTTCGATCGATTCAAGTAAGACTCAATGAGTATTACTCATTGTTTATTTTTATAAATATATTGTGTTCTTCGAATGATAGAATGAGAAAATCCATGTGAAATTGAATAGTTCAGTTGATTTGAATTTTAACTTTATGATAATTAAATAATTGATCATCGATGTTGAAATAGAAATATCTATGAACTACTTTAGCCTTGTTGATTTGTCTAATTAGTTCTTAAAGATTGTGATCTCATCGTTTAGCAACAGAAAAATAGTTTACGGTAAAATAATGACATTATGACAAATTTTTATCCCTCTATGTTAGCAATTACTGTTTTGACGATCGGTCTGCTCTAATTCAAATCTCACGGAAAAATACAAGTTAACGAGTAACCAAGGAAGATACATGTCGAGAAGTATTGGAGTTAACGTTTCTAAGCAGTTTAACAATAATTAATACTAAAAACAATTTTCATCATGAATCTCTCAATTTCATGTTTATTTTAAAAAGTGGCTAATATTATTTACATCAATTAGTACGAGTCATCGATTTATAGAGAGATATTCAAGATGGATCTTAAAAATAAAGAGCCAGAATAAGAGAAGTTTTTAATAGGCAATGTTACTAAAGTCCTAAGAGGCACTTTCCTTTTTGAGCGGGCCAAAAGATCATAATAAAAGAACTTTTCTTTTGTTTTGACTTTTAAATTCTCAGATGCTAATCTAGCTTTTCTATCTATGTCAATATTGCCAATCAAACAATGTGGCATATATCGTTGTTAACCTATGTTCAACTTCGTATTTATATTTATTTTTTAGAAAGAGGCCGAATAATTTACAAATAGGCCACCCGTATGCAAGCATAATACATTAATCTTTTATTTGTTGATGTTAAGTCTGTTGTGTATCGCGCTCTGATTTTTATCCTTTCATGAATACTCGTTTTATTAAATATTATATCTATTTCATTTAGATGCTTCGCATAATTCAAGTTGCATATGAATTAATCATTGACAAAGACAGATTTGCTTATATGACGGAGTTTCAATAAAGAAAAATCATCTGAAGGTTTCTAAATAATTAATTGTTTTACTGTACTAAATAATCGAATTTTACTACTGTGTATTAATTTGATGTGTGTTTCATTAAATCTCTTTTAACATAATATAACTGATGATGAGAGAGGAATAAATCATATGCAATGAAATGAACATATTTTTAGACACTTTATATACACTATCAGTATATTCAAAACGAAATATTTCAAACTGTACATATTGTATGCAGCCCATATTTTAAACTACTTGGTTTGTTGATGAAAATTTTCATCTGATCTGAATATGTTCAATGTTCTTTAGTGTTAATAATAAATATTCTTCTATTTTTTAGAAATACATATTATATGATAGAAAGAAAATCATAAATAAATAAATAAATCGTGAATAAGACGTTTTAAGGTTTCTCGATCTGATTATTCATAACGATTTTGAATGTTAACATAGTTTATGCTAGTTTGACATTTCAACAATTCTATTCGACGGATCAGTCTCATCTTGAGTAACTATCAAACGATCATCTTCTAATGCTATATCTTCTATTTGCTGATGTATTCTACTGGCATTATCGTCGGTTGCCACAATATCATGCATTGGAGTCAGGTCTTGAACAAAATGCGTTATACGGCTCTCGGTATCATCGCGTGTACTTACATCCGTCCAGGATGTATTATCTTCTTCAATAATCGTTTCTTTTGGTGTTATTCGATTTCGAGTGCGGATGCCCGGTTGTTTCCGTAACTTAGAGTCAATCGCTTTATAATTGAAGTCTGCTGGCATCGGTACAATTGAAATATCACGTACAGCACGAAATTGACCACAATTATTCAAATGTTCGTTTTCTAACCGAAAAAAATTCCAAATAAATCTACGAAATATTTCTACGATGCCGAAACAAAATCCGATCAAATCAGTATATTCAGCTGATTGCACATTAAAAGCGATAAATATATTGATTGTCCAAACGAAACGAAAGATTATATCTTCTATAATAGCTGCATAATAATATATTTTTGATGAATAAACAAGTTGTTCACGTAAATATTTATTAGTGCCGACTTTTTTATCAAAAAAACCCCAATCCATTTTGAGATCCCATATAAGTTTGTATACAGAACCAATAATTGCAGCGATGATCCACAAATAAAGAAATGGATTATCCGCTTGATTTGCAGCATATGTTTTAGTGGTTGCACGCCGCAATGAATTTGTAATTATGATAAAGAAGCCAGTAGCATATTTACCTGCATTAGTCAAATGTGGAAATGCTTGTTTCGTGTCACGATATCGCCGTAAACATTGTGCAAAACGAAACCAAGATGGTAACATGAGAAAAATCGATTGCAAGAGAATCTCAGACCAACCTGTGCAAAAAAAGCCTTGGTGAGATGCTGGGGATGTCAAATCTGTGAACCACCATGTAGAATTTGAACAATAAAAACAGAAGAATGATTCCAAATCGAAAAAAACTAATTCGAGAGAAGTGAGCTGGTCTCCTAGCCAAAAATCTGTAAAACCAACAGAATGAAAAGGAGATGAGAAAACTCGAGCTAGTTTCCTTAGGAGCCAGAAGCGAGCTTCACGATAGAATATTGGTATTGGATTAAAAACAAATAGAATCATTAATGCAACAAATATAAGTGGCTGTATAAAAGGATAACAATCATAATACGATGCTAGAATGAATCCGATGAAGCCGATAAACCAGAGAACCAGTAGAGATGTTCCAATCTCAAGAATGCGTTGATAAGTTAAATGATGACGTGGATCAATTTCAAATATGAGAATATGATTAACACCAGATGATGACCAACCATAAACATTGATACCAGAAAAAATAATCTGAATAATTATTAAACATGTCGAACGATAGAGTAGAATTCCTTGGCGCCAGGCAAGTGTTTTGTTCGATTGGCTTACATTCAGCTGAGTGCCGAATGCAAACAAAGCGGGTAATAAGAGACAAATCATTCCTATAAATTAATTAACTCAATTCGTTCCGAAACAAATAAATTGTGATCCTACCAACAAACAGACCAAAACGAAACGTCACCATCGGTGAGTTTTTTTCATCTAGAGGTGGAACCCGAAGGCGCTTCATGGCTTCTACTCTGTTGCCAGATTCGAATGCATCGGTGAATATGTTTTCTATATCCCGAATAAGTTCAGCGACCTTGGTCGATGTGTGAAATGTAGCCGTGTCAACATGAATTTTTCTGTAAGAAAATAAAAACCTAGTGATCGAACTTTGTTTGACACAATATTGATTACATCGAAAAACTATCCTTTGGAAAATATGCTTTTCTCATGTATTCATTCAAAATGGTTCTAAATAAACAGATTATATTGCTTTAACAATTGTTCCCACTGTTGTGATTGTTCTAGATCAACTTCGATTCCTTGAAATGTTCTCGTATTTTAAAAACTCGAGTTTATATAGAAAAGCTCGTTTTAATAGATTGAGAAAGGTGCGTTCATGTACTATTTGCTTTATTAATTATGTGCAAACATGTATTTTGAACACGATATGCGACAAATCAACAGTACTATTCGACGAAAAGTTCGAAGTGTACTATTGATTTCCTAGATAATTAGTGTAGTGAAAAAACAATTTCAAATAGGATATTGCTAGTAGTTGAAATTGAGTTATGAGTGAAACGAATCCAATACAAATGTAGCTTTCTAAAGAATTTATCATTTGATTATTTTCTTATATCTATTATATTGGTAGGGTGTGATTGGACGATATTATTTTGTTATTTAAAGAAAATTCAGTTTGCAAACAGACTATTCTATCTTGAGGGTGTTCAAAAATGAAAATTAAAACAAGTGCTACAAGGAAATAGACGATCATCTTTGTATAAGATCAATGAAAAAATTCAGATAAAAATTAAAACACAAACTACGAAACCTTACCGCCATACACTGCCACGTTCCGTTTGAAATACTTTGTCGTGCTTTTTCAATATTTTACGAAAGCCAGTAAAATTGAGGACTTGGTAGTTTTGTAAAAGAACAAGCATTAAGTAGAACTCACTAAAAGCTGTCTTTAAATTATTTAAACTTTTGTAGTGCGTGTGTTCCGAATGCCATTCAGGCGTTCTTTTGGCTAATCGTATAGGTACTAGACTGGATAACGAAGTACGCCAAGTACGTTGAGCGATCGAGTCTTTGAGATTCTTTGGATAATTATCATTTTTCATGTTTGTATTTAATCCTCGATCAAAAACAATCGATACCCTTCGATTAGAACCAGAATGAGCGTCTGATACAATGTACTGCAGTTCGTCTTTGAGAGCTTCAAATCGTCGTGATGATCTAAAAAATAAGCAGTTTCAGTCTAAATTATGAAAGAATGAAGGAATCATTGAATATCCTCTATATAAAAGGATATGTACAGCCTACTTCACAGTAACTTTTAGTTCCTTGAAATGAGGCTTGCAGAGTCCTTTCAGTACACACAGAAGCTTTAAACAGTTGAACAAAAATCGATTGTAGACCGAAGTAATTACATCATTTGTTCAGTTAGTCATGAAAAAATAAAATTGTCTGTTCATTGCAGTGAACAACTCGGATATAGTTTAATTCGATTAATCAACAATCGTACATTTTTTCTGAAGAGCTCACAAAATAATTTGTAAGGTTTGTTGTACTCGTGTTTATAGATGATAATTTTTATTTTCTTATTTATACTTCATGCAAGAAAACAGTTGTTCGTTTTCATCAATCATACTATAGTAAAATTTATCGTGATTCATTGTAAGTAACTGTTTCCGAATGCTAAATGTGTTAATTAAATTCCTGTTTTCCGAACTGCAATGATTTTATTCAAGTTCTTTTGCTGTCATGGTGTGAATTATCAGCTTTCAAGGTGTCATGTTCTATAATTGAAGACTTTATTGATTAATCATGGTGCTCAGTTGCTAATTTGATTGACCATAATTGGAAAAGCATGAAGAGATTTTCTTTATAAAATGATTTGCAAAATAATCTTTCATGCAAAGATACAATTTGTAGAGATTGAAATGCTGAATGAATGACAGATGGTTAAAACAAAATGAACTTACTGTATAGCTTTAAAATTCAACAATGGTCAATCACGATAAAACATCATTTAGTGCGCAATATTAGTCTATTTAATTAGAATGTAAAACAGGGATGAACTACGGGCAGTCAAGATTTAACTCGAATTTTGCTATAGTTAATATAAAAAACCTGGAACCTGATTCATTCAACTTTCGAGAAATGTGAACTTACTATTTTATTTCAGATTCCGACAGAAATCAAAAGAAAAGAACTATGATTTATCGATTGAAGAGATTTCAGCCCTTTACTTTTAATTTTTAGTCTAGAAACCAAAAGTTGTAAGTAATACAATCTTCTGAAAATTGGACTCCTTCAAGATGCCTCTAACTAAGACCAAGTTTTTCGAATAAAATCTAAAATAGAAGTTGAGTGTCGAGATTTTACTGCATATTTCTCAAATATCGGATGGCATCACATGTTTTCTTATGAATTATTTGAGTTATTGTTGATAGGTAATTTTCGTTGCAAGCATCTCGAGCATATATCCTTTACTACTACTGTGATGAAATTTGGAAAGTTGGCTTTCAACAAGAAAATGAACAGATATATTTTCAAAACAAGATTGCTGAAGTGGATTTTTATGCTTTTAGAGTTTGTATATCCTTTGTCTATATGTATATTTTTAGTAGCTAATAAATTAATAGCACAAGTACCATGTTTTAATAAAAGTTCATGTGCAATTTTCTCGATATTAAAGAAGATATTTTTTTAAGCCTTTCTGAGATTTTTCTATCGATATGAAAACTGATAAAGTTCGATCATGTTGGTTGCAAAAATCTAGTCTTTACAAACTTAAAATATCATTAGTCAAAAACTAACCTTAAATTTCCGTGAGAATTCTCTAAAATCTCGATACTTTTCTTTTGAAAATTGTTACTTACTCAGCAAGTTTTTCAGAAAAAAAAGTATTAATCTTTGCCGCTTCTTTCTCGCACAACTATAAGAAAATAAAAAATGAATTTGATTTTAAACACAATATGATGTACATTCTTTATTCTCACCTGAAAGAAACTAATATCGACATCACGAAAAAACTGTGAACGCAACATATTGTTATCGTTATCCATTTTGTCAGGTGCTTCAACCACTGCTTGTTCCAGAATTACTTTCATATATTGATATTCAATGTATTGAGAGCTCCATTCTGGCGTTATATGAACAGCTAAATGCTCGCCAAACTTCATTTTTAATGTTCGTTCTAAAAGCTCAGTTCTTCGAAGCAAAGACTAACATTTGTTTGTAGATATTCACGAATATGTATAATATTAAGAGAACTTATTTCTTCATATACAGTTTAGAGTACTTTGAAAATCTAAAATCGAAATAAAATAGATCTGTAAGCAGAACAGGCGTGCAATGTAGTAACTTTGAGTACTATGCTTGTTTTTAGAAAGTCATATATTAAACTTACAGCCAGAACGAGTCCTTTTATTGGTAAAAGTTGCAAGAATAGTTTTATGATGAACTTATCGTATGTTTATCTACAAGAATAAAAAGAATTTATTCCAATTTTACTTCTATTTAGAGGGTCGGGAAACATTATTTAATATTTAAAAAGGAGAATTAGAAGTTTCACGTTATGTATCTCTAGAATCACTACGGAGAGATTGTTTCTACTCACATATTTGCTTGATCTATCTCTTGTTATATATTACAAGATCTAAAATTGACAAATAATTCTATTTCGTAGAATTGCTGAAGTATTGAAAGATTGGTTTCGATTCGAACAATATACGAATTTAATCACATTTTCAACAGCTGAGTATTTCTCAATACGGTATTCAATATACTTTATTTTCGGAAAAAGAATCAAAACAAAGGTTCAAGGAAAACTTTGATTCGTAAAAGAAAAACTGTGCTTCAAAGTGGACAACACATTGCACGGAAACCATCAGAGATTTCATTATTTTTTAAGGTGAAAGAGTATACGATCTAAATTTTAAGTTTTGTAAAAATATTTGAAACATTATACTCTTTTTGTATATAAATTGCCAAATTCTATCAATAGATCACAATGGGAACAGAGCTATAAATTACTGGAACTGTTGAGAAAAATAATGTTCTCCATAATGTAACAAGTGTAAAATTTCGATATGATAGTATTTGCTTATGGATGGCACTATATATTTCAAATTCATTGATTTGACGATGAGAGATATAATTCAACTCGTTTCAATCTGATATTAACAATCAACAAGATGTCATTTCGGTCACCAATAACATCAAAAGGCTTATTTTATTCTCAATTAGCATATAAATGTACTTGCAAAGTGTATTAACTCAGTGAAAAGAAAATTTGCCTCTTTAGGATTTATAGTTTTTTCATTAACAAGAAGTTTGTATGTCAAAAAAGAGAAATATATACTTCTATGTACGAATGAATAAACACTGTCTGATGAATTATTTTTGATGATCACTTCAAAATAAATTTTCTTTTTTTATGAATCTACAGATATTTTAACGAGTAACTCGAATAAACTTTATTTGCAATCAGATCAAATTCGTCCAATAATATCCTATCAAATCTTGATAATTCTAACAGAATCATCATCGAAACTAACAAACTCTGATAGAATCCAACTGTTAGATTTGTCGTCCTGCAAATCTTTCTTGAGATGAAGAAATCCAATTCAATAGTTAAAATGAATCGAAAATTAACACTTCAAGCAATTTTTCTAATACAAATTGAACATACGAAAATGTTGCATAGCACCATATTAGCCATCTTATAATTAAAAGGATCACAAAATTCCTAATCTGTGATGCGAGTGATAGCCGTGTTTTCAATTGATTTCTGATCGTTATGTATTCTTAGTATATTTATCATGTTACCGTCATCGATAAGATATTAGGGACAGAAGAAAGAGAGCGGTTGGCATTCTGATACTAGATCTGAGAGTTTCGGCGCAAGATGTTATATTTTAAAAGTTATTGATAGAGATCAGTATAAGAAGAAAATGTATCTGTTCTTTTAGATATTTTCTTGATTGAACGAAGCATGCATAAATTTGCACATTAATCACACTTCCGTCCTATTTTCAAGGATATGCGAGAGAACATGCTGCTACAATTAACAGTTACTGAAAACTTTATGCATGTAAACGCAGAGCGCCGCTTTCTCTCTCTATTCTTAAAAGTAACTTAGTTTCATCATATGCGCGCGTGTGTTAGTTTGAGCTGTAGCTGAATAGGATTTCTACACTCAAACATTCGACCGTACTCTACTATATTTACATTCATCGATAACTAAAAATTTCTTTGAAACATAGCACACAAATAAAATTTTACGCTTTAATTTTTCGATATTATATACAAAATTATTCGATTGGTATTTTCAAAATCTCTTTGCGTTCTTGAACTGACTGTTTTAGTAGAAGAATACGCGTTCAATTCTCTGCAAATAAATTACTAAACACTTTGTTGTAGAATCTTAACTTGCAGCATACCATATGAAATTATGGCAAGCACCAAAATGAAAGAAAAATGAAATGTATTATCTCAAATTCAACTATATTCTTTTAGAATGATTTGTCAAACATCAAGATATAATTCTAACACATTTTCATCTTAGCGCGTTAAAAAATAATCATGTTTCTGTTTTAATCTTAGAAATCTAACTGTCACAAATTCATTTTTTTAGTAAAATAAAGAGAAAAATGGTTTAAATTTAAATAGACTTTGTTTTGTTTATCGGAAGCGTTAACTTATTGACAGAAAGAATCGTTATTTCTTTTTTTTAAATTGACAACAAATATTGGCAAAAATTTTCAAAGGTTCAAGGGCAAGTGATATCTTTTAAACTAAAAAATGGCGCTATACTTATTTAATACTTACAAAATGACTACTCACAACCATCTCTTTCACAAATTTCTAGGAAATAACTTTCGAAAACCCTGTCTATCAATTTATCTTCGTTTATTTCATTTTGGCCCTTATCATAATTTCGAGTGGTATGCTGCAAATATGGATTCTATAACACAGCGTTGCATATTCTAGTGAAAGCAGCTCCATAATCATGTTTGAGAAACAGGATATTTCTCTTGTACGTCGTCCAATATAATTCTAAATTTCAATGCTATCGGGTTCACTTGTTTCAGTTAACAAAATCAATCAATAGAGAAATCTTAATAAATTGATTTAATATTTTCAACGAAAAATATCCGAATCTCGAACAGTGCTACTTCAATTTTAAATGGATAATACCAAGTTACAAAGAACAGTAAAAAAGAACAGGATATTGTATCTAATAAGCTTATTGGCAACAATAAAAATGCAATAGCTTGTATTCAATTTCGCTTGAAAGATATGGTGATGCTGAGAACAGTTGTCGTTACCCAAAATGTTGAGTAAAGGCCAAAAGGTTATTTTTAATTATATTCTTGATCTCATTTTGAATACTGCTGCCAATGAGGCGCTCATTTTATTCTCTATACAAAGTTGAACATATTTCAACAAAGGTTCAAACTCATTATTCTTGTGATGATGGGAATTTGAGAATGAATACTTCACATCTATTTCGGAAATCTATGGAGTAAACTTTTAAAATTATTTTATGCTCACAGGTAATAGTGATAAAGAACATATCTTACAAATAACAGAGACGATTCTATACGCGAAAAAAAACAATTTTCGGTTGCTTTGTCATCAGATGAACATGAGATTGTTAACATGAATATGAAACTGATATTTTCCTTCCGAAAGGATAGTGAGATTGATCATACACTAAGATCAAATTCATCCAATATGTATTTCAGCTCGTTATTGAAATTTGAGAACGTTATATAAGTTCATCTTTCAATTGGTATGTGAGGATGATCCACTATTAACTATATGAGAATTAATTAGTATATGTGCATACAATTTCGAAAAGCTACTACAACCGAAAGAATGATTCAATTGCCAATTTTGTATAACGCATGATATCTTTGCAAACCTTACAATATTACAATAAGCTTGAAGACAAATCATATTGATAACCGATTTCGAATATAAAAAAACAGAGTAACACTAAATGATCCATTCGACTCTTGGGATAATGCTAATGGGTCCCGTCAATTTATGAACACCTTCTATTGAAAACTATGTAGTATATGAATTTAAAATTCTAATCATATTGATTCGCAAAAGAAACAAAGAAAAATGGTTCACAATCCAAATACAGCTTCGGTATGAAATAAGAGAAAAAAATAAAATCATGCATCTAATCCTGACAAGTTTTCTTACCAACTTTATCGACGTGTACAGTAGAATAGTGTTCCACATAAAGGACTGAATTATATAGCATTGAAAATTTTCTCTATGCATCAAAAACTGAAATGATAGATACATAATGCCAAACGTTGTCCAATCTTGCAGAACAAGGTTACTTCAAAACCAACGCTCTTTTTTTTTATATTGTTTCAGTAAAGAGAAATCATGATCATAAAACCCATAATCAATTCTGTAACTATCAGTACACATCTGCATTCTAACACAAAATCATTATGACATTTTACACTAACATACCTGTACTGTAGTGTGTCGTCGTTTTTAGTAGCTATTTTATACTAGGATATCTTAAATGTCATAAATAGAACTTATTCAAAGATTTTTATTCGTTCCTAAGTATCTACAAAACAACAATGTAAAATGCTATTAAAATTCTTAGATGAGAATAAGCTTGCTACAACAGTCTATCGAGCATCATAATAAAAAAATATCCTTTCTCAAATTCACCTTTGATAAAGGAGTTGTAAATAGGTTTCGAGTTTTCTTGTAAAAATATGTCAAAAAACCACTGACGTCCAATAGCGTTTCGCTCTGCGTTTTGATGCTACACATATTCATAATTTAAAGTGTAACATTGTGAAGAGTTAAAGTTTTAGATAATATTATGAATGATTCAACTGGTAGGTGTGCGATAATTTTAAAATCATACTAGATCATCAGAATAAAGGTTTAATGCAATTGAACCCTAGCACTTAAGAGATTGATTTTGAGATGAACGAGAAACAGGAGAATGTGTCAACAATAGATAAGTGCAGATTACAATTGAAATATGTTAGTACAAAAAGAAATATAGATAAGAAATCTACCACGTTATACGTTCTCATATATGCACAACAAGAAAAGGGAGAGGGATCATAAATGATGACTAATATAATCACAGAAAAATCACGCCATCTCTGAGAACGTCACTATTTGCTCGTTACTTAAGTTTACTTACTTTGATACCCGTAAATAACTGTAAAGTTAATTTTCCTATAGTATTCGAAATTTTGGAAATTCGCTGCCTGTTAGTTTGAACAATGTACTCAATAGATCGAATAAGTAATATCCTTGTCTATATTTATAAGAGACTAATTGATGTTAAATCAGAGTATGAAATGATTGGCGTTGGTCAGATTACCAAGAATGAACATCAGCTTCATTTTACAAATGCTTTATTCATCTCATCTCATCGACAATATAATGACACTATTCGCGATTGTGTCTCAATGCTGACTATAATATTGGCACACAATAGAAAATAAATACATATTTTTGATTTAAATTTTATTGCAAGATATGAAGAATACATGATCAAACAAGATGACCTCCTTCTTATATAAATAAGATATGATACGACAGTCTAGATGAAAATTTCGTATTCGAAAGTTAATGTTAAAAGTGAGTCAATGCGAATTGTTTATATTGCAATAAGCTGCTCAATTCATAATTCAAGTCATCAGAGAAAAATCATCATAATGAATTTCACAAAACCCAACCCGTGTAACTCAGCGGCTAGAGCACTGGTCTAGTAAATCAGGGGTCGATAGTTCAATTTTCTCCTCGAACAGAGAAAGATAATCTTTAGGATTTTGTTTCGTTTTTATACAGAGATGAACTGACGGTAACTGCATTTAAAAAATATTTTCTTAATTCATTCAAATCGAAAGCGATTCGTTGATCATATATAAATTGTCATGTACAGTGACAAATACTTTTTGTCTATGTAGTCGTTCTAGTATCATTAGCAGTTTTTCTGTTATTTTTTTATGGATATAAAATTTATATGAAATAATGTTGAATAATCCTGTACATCGAAGTGGCAACATCTGTTGTTAGTTTTGACCGTTGCCTTGAAATATGTATCGACAACGAGCGTACTCACTTTAAACATACGTTGATTCAACGTCTTTTAAAATATGATTCAATGTAGTAAATTATAATTGGAACAAACGTATGGCTCTTAGTATTCGTTATTACTCGATATAGTCAATTGTAAACAGAAAATGTCTCATGATGTAAAAACGACGTTCATTCAAAAGTAAATATTCAGACAAATACAAACGTCATTTTATGTACAAAGATCTTTGTTTTCTATATTTTCAAAAAAGAAGTTTTTGTGCCTAAATAACGAGTTTGACATCAATGAGCTTCTCAAAATTACTTTTTACGAAAATGAAAATCATTTTGTTCAGCGTAAATTATGTATACAATAATTGTTTTCTTTCAGTTTGCATATTGCTTATAGTATTTTCTTGCCCTCGGTAGATTTCACTCGTAGTTCAAAAACAACATTTTCAGGAACATAGTAAGATATGTTTGCTTTTTAAATTTCTTAAGAAATTTAATCTTTTTTAAGGCTAAAATTCTATTTTTCGTAGCAATGCTAATGAATCCACAGTCATCCTCCGCTTGAAAATAGTTAGAGAAATCGATCGTTTCACTATAGTGTTTCCATTTAATACAGCCTATCAGTGATAAATGAAATAAAATAAAATAAAATAATAGTTTTGCATTAGAAAATGCAGAAATCGGCGTTCAAACAGATCAATATTCAAACGTCATCAGTATATGATAACAAACATCTTTTTATTGCAGAAAACTCGCTGACATACGATTTCTTAGGAGCGACAATTGCCATTGATCGAATTTCGATACTGTTCTTTCAAGATATCTGAAACAGAAAAAAATATCTATTGTGAATGTAACAAAACTGATTCATCAGAATCAAGATCTATATTAAACAGATACTGGTCATCATTTTCAACAACATAATTCATCGTTATTTGTGTTAGACTTTCTTTTTTATTTATCCAATGCCATTTTGTCGATCTTCCTTCTTCTAATAATCTGTCTTCTTCATTCATCTGTTCACCTTTTGTCATAACATAAACAAAATATTCTACTGATTCATTTCCATCTGAAATGGAATGTACTTGAATCGACCATTGATATTTTTGTTTTGCTAAAAATGGTCGTCGAAAATGAGGCTGCTGAAATGAAACTGAAATAAATCGACCACAATTAGATTGTAGACATTTACTAATTTGCATTAGTATCAAATCAATTTTTTCTTTTAATTCTTCTGTTGGATTCCACAGATGATGTTCATGTCCAACAAAAAATACATCCAATGTACCTTTTTCAATAATTGTATCAAAATAATCTGTACGTAAAGGCATTGTTCGAATATCTAATGCAAACCAATCAATTACAAATAAATCATTTTCTTTTATCGATCGACGTTTATCAAGAATACCAAATGAATAATCAGCATTCAAAATCAAATGGCAATAGTGGCGCTTATACATTTCTTCAGCCAGTGATGATGAACCACAACCAAGATGAAGTAAAATATACGAAGGTGAAGATTTTAAATAAAGATCTAATATAGGATATAATCGAGAACAATCACCAAACCATTCAAATGAATCTTCTGTTAAAAATCGTTTATTCCAATATGACTGTTTTGATAAATCCTCCATCTAAAAGAAAGCAAAAGATTTATTTATTTTTTTATATATTTTAAAGAAAAACAAAATTAACAAACATCAACAATTTAAAAAGCTTCGGATGGAACAATACGGCTATATACTCTTCCTGAATGAAAAGTCGGTAGTATTTTCCAGTTATAAAATAAACAAAGAAAACTCAAACGTATATATGAAGAAAACAATTTAGATATCAATCAAAGGTACACGTATTTTACCACAAAATGATACTAACAATTTATCAGTTGATAGAAAATTCATATCAATAAGCCACAAAATATAAACCAATATGATCAAATAAAAGTAGTACTATCTTTAAATCCACTATCTTCAAGAGAAAATAATATGGCAAGCCCAATAAGAAGGATGGATCCTCCAACATTACAAGCTTTTGAGTACTCATTCGTATAGTCTTCTAAAACATTATGAATATGAACAAAAATGATGATAACACTAAGCAATGTACCAATATAACGGAATATTGAAATCTAATTTAAATAAATACACAAATAAATCTAAAAACATTTAGCTTTTGTTCTTACTTAAATGTCATAGGTATTATTTGCACCAGCTGTTAATTGTAGTATATATAGAACAAAGGTTAATGCTGTATATTAGAAAAAACTCCATCTATTCATAGCATATGGATGTTGATAGAAATAGTAGCCAAATGAGGTACGATGATAGATAGAAATAAATGATCCACATAGCCTATGAACATATTTTAATATGAAGTAGTATGGATTTTTCAATTTAATTACTTGCCAAATGAAGCTCAGATATCAAATACAAGAAATACTTGTAGATGATGCAGTTAAGTCTGTCGGATATTGATTAAGAGAGGGCACATTAATATAAATCTTATTGCCTGTTTATGTAAAAACTAGAATATGTTTTCAGTTAAATAGATCCAAACAAATAATACTAACTTGAAGTATAGAAGAAATCTATTGAAAAACGTTGATAAACAACCGCTACAAAGCATATAGTTGATGTGATCATATACATAATATGACCTCAATCGTGTCGATAAATATTACTAGATGGCCTTTGAACATTTTACACAGAAGCTACTTCCATTAGAATAAAATTTGCTCTTAAAGATAAATCGACACACTGAAAAATCGTCTGACTCATTGCTTGGTCATCATAATCATAACCAATAGGATAGAGGAACCCCGTGATGTCAGCGCTTTCTATTTCTTCTGTCTAATTTTTTGATGAACATGAAAGAAAAGAAAAAGATTTGATTCCACAAAACAGTAATACCCGAAATTGAGAACTTAAAACGATTTCAGCTGTGTTAATGACTTGACTCATTACTAGCGATTATTTCTTTTTTTTGTCGAATGAAAACACTAACACAACAAATATTATCTCTATTTAGTCTTTGAAAAGTTGATTACATGAAAGAGGATGTTGGTGTGGGTGAGGGGTATATATGTATCCATATGGAGCATATATCGGAAAGTTAAATTAAAACTAAATCTATGCCTAGATTTAGTATTAGTTTAACTTGTTCTTTTCTCTATTTATATTCGAACTCAAAATTAAGCTGCTATTCATTTAATGCCATTCTCCACAATTTGATGATGAGCATTGTCAGCGCGGACGACCGACAGCGCATTTATACAATGGACTTTATCGAAATATATATATATATGTTGTAGTGGAAATTAAAATTCAGTAGAATTTAAAATCCTACTAGTAGAAATTGAAATTTTAGTTTCTACTATAGGTAAAATTCAGTAGAATTTCAATTTCTACTAGTAGAATTTTAAATTCTACTGAATTTTAATTTCTACTAGTAGAATTTTAATTTCTACTAGTAGAATTTTAAATTCTACTGAATTTTAATTTCTACTGCGACATATATATATATATACTGATTTTGGAACCATCGTAAATTTCAACGAGTATGGATATCTCTAATGTTAGCATTCTTGATTTACCTGACGAAATATTACTTACTATTTTCAAGAAACTTAATAATATTGATCTATTATATTCACTAATGGGTATTAGTCAAAAACTAGATAGGTTTGCATGCGATTTTTACTTTACTAAAGATGTTGACCTAACGACAGTATCATCAAATGACACGAGCAATTCGAGACTTAATGTTATGGTTGATCGATTTTGTACATATATATTACCTCGAATTCATAATAACGTGGCATGTTTAAGTGTTCAAGCGTCGTTGTTTCAGCGTATTCTTCATTCTAGCAACTATCCTAACTTACGTAAGCTCACTCTCATCAATCTCGACATCGATACGGCTTCTCATATGTTTAATAGTACGTTTGTTAATTTTTTTGATCGTCAAGTAGTAGTAGAACAATTGTTTTCATTTGTATATTTTTTAGAAAAATCGCTTTTCATTCGTTCCTACAAACATCAAATTTCGCATCTAGTGGTGAAGATCTGTGATGGATTTCGGTGTAGACCAATAGAGATCATAATAGCTCAAACTTATGTTGCCATTTTTACTTGGTTATCAAATATACAGTATTTGAATTTAGATGGTATTGACGGTAATCGCTACTCAAGACGATTACTGCGTGGTTTATCTTCTATGAGATGTTATTCTTCCAGTGTCGCTCATTTACGTATTAGAATACACAATTTTGATGACTGTCTCTGCTTACTCGATGGTCGCCTTAGCCGATTACATACATTAATTGTCAAGCTTGATTTTGTCCGTCATTCAAGAATAATTATAAATAATGAGGTAAAGAACTATAGAATAGAAGAATTCTTTCATTTTAATATCTGCTAAAATAGTTGTATTAACAATGTTCAAAGGCAGTTCTCAGAAAGATGTGCACATTTCTACAAGTATACATGGGAAAGTTAGAGTATCAAAAATACTAGCTAGTGAATAATTTAATGTCATTAATATTCAATGATATTCTGTACGAGTTTCATTGATTATGAGTCTTTTGGAATTTTCATCTGTAACCGTAAGTTTTCCATTAAATAAACATAGATTAGCATAAAAGAAAAATAGATTTACTTCTAAACAAACGAAAAAGTATTTCAAAGAACATTAGAAAAATACAGAATGAAAAATGTTGTCGTATTTTTGTTTTGAAACGTTTACACTGCGTCTTTAATTATTCATTCATAAGTTGCTCTTTCATCGTTGAATTACTGTTAATTTTGGTGAGCAAAGTTCTTCAGGTAACTAGTTACATAATCAAGATATAGATGAATAATTCAAGAACGTTCAACTTTTTCTTGATCTATTTTCCGATAGAAGGACCGAGCTCATTGCTATGCATTTATCAAATAACTGTCAGAATATAAGAATATTTTTGATTCAATATCGTTTTATTCGAAAATCGAAACAACTGTTAAAGTAGAGGATATATTTAGAAATAAGTGATTAGTTCACACATTGTATACGACCATGGGCCCACAATCGTACGAGATTAAAATGTAATCTTTACATATTTATTAGCAATACTATTGGATTTATTCCATCTATCATTAGATGAATTATTAACGTAGGATTCTTAAAAATAATTTTGTTATTTTTATAGAGCACTCTACGTAAACTGAAATGTTTTTCGCCATATGTAAACCGTCCAACTGTTAGCTTTGACAATGCACTTGTGCCGGTTCTATGTCGAATGTTAAATATGGAAAAGCTCACATTATCTTTTCGTGTTCGTCGCCGAAATTCATTTATTGATGGTATCTATCTCACTGATCAAGCTATCAATTACATGTCGCATCTACACACATTTATATTCGACATCGCCAACGACAATACAATAATTAATGCACATTCTAAGCCATCTTCTGATGATATCCGACGCACATTCATCGAACGTGGACATCATGTTGATTGCTATATTGACTATCATACAGATAAAATAGGTCGGTGCCACGTTTATTCACTCCCATTCACTATGGAACGTATACATTACATTACATCCAGGTTTCCAAGTGGTATGTTTATGAATGTCCGTGTTTTACGTGTGTGCGACATTGACCGCTCTTTTGAAAACACATTCTTTGCTAAAATCTCGTGTTCCTTTCCATTACTCAGTGAGCTGACAGTATCAAATACAACAGAACGATTAGAAAAACCATCACATCAGTGGGGAAAATCCAAAGAAGCTTCCTCGATTATTGAATATTCTTGTCTTGTGAAACTTATCGTTCTTGATGTACATATAGACTACGTCGAACAATTTCTTTCTAGCTTGAATACACGCCTACCATGTCTTAACAAACTTCACATTCGATATGAACACTTAGCAACTGTCACAGAAAATTTCACAAGAGATGCAACGCGTATCAACTGTGAAAAACTGAAATGTATTATCTTCGAATACGATTTACATTTAGTACAATCGAGAGATTTTTATCTGTATTTTCCTTTTTTGTAAAAAAGATGTGTTTCTTCTATGTAGTTTTTGGATTTGTTTATCAAAATGACAATATCTACTTGTCAAAAAAAATATTCGACTAACAATTTGATGCTTCGCATATTACTCACATTAACCGTCATATAACTAACACTCAAACTTCTACATAACTGAGATAGATCTACTATAATTTTCATCCTATTCAATATGCTTTCTGAATTGAATGTGATAAAAATTTATAGTGGAATCGATTCAGCTATTGTTAAATCACTGTCAGCTTGAGTGATATTGTTTTCAGTTCTTAACAGAATTCAAGTCAGTTTTGGAAATCGGAATAACAATAATTCCCATTATCATAAGATAGCATTAGCCTTTTATTTTTTAACACAGTAAACTAACTCATAATAAACAAAAGAGAGGAGTTTTATAAGTAATGACGGAATTATTGTTGGGTGTGGGTTCAACACATGAACTTACAATGAATAACTCTGGTCGGTTAATCAATTGATTTACTAATAAACTAATTAATTAGAATAATATTCTTGATTAATAATGGATTATATTTCATTGGATATTTTTCGATCAAGAATTCATTTGGGGAAGTTGGAATCGGCGAAAATGAACTTATTCACTTTTATTTTATCATGATGATACATGGACATTAATTTAGTTTATACATGTTGTATGATTTGATTGTTTTATCTTAGCATTTAAAAAAGAGTTAAACATAAATCTCAGATACATGTTTTCCCTTCAATCACTATATCCAGCTACAGTCAAAAAAAAACATTCATCTTTGCTATTGATCATATAAATGAGTTATTTCAAAACAAATAGTAATTGACTTTTCGGTTGCTTGTTCTGGTAATGTCTTGAACAATGCTATTGATTCGCATGTAATGAATATGTCATTTCTCGATATTAACAATAAAATCTTCTAAATTATTATAAACAGCCTGAATAATGCTATCAGTTATATTTTCTAACATGGACAATCATATCTCACAGAATACATCAAGGAAAAATGATGAATGGCATAGGATCATTCTATGGAAGTAATTTGTCAACACTATTAATAAATATGTGGAAAAAGGTGCTTCGCATAAATCATTTAGTTTAGGTTATATCAGTCATGTGTCGAGTAGAGTTGTATAAAAAACGAAAACAAGTTTTAATTAAGAAAATTTTTGTTTACTTTTATTTTCATCTTGACACTTTGAGTTGATGTTTTACTTTGGACATTGTTCTTTCGTTCTCTTCGTTGTTTAGATACAAGATAAGGACAAGAGTATTTTGCATTATAAAAACAAAACAAAAGGAAAGAAATTTATGAGTGACTATTTTATTCTTGTTGCCATTCGAGTACTTCGATGCAATAAAAGCTTTTATATTTGATGATCGCTTTATTTTACCATCAAGAGTGACTTAATCAATGTATAAATAAAAATGTGGCCCCATATTTTTGAGAGTTACTTTGACTGTAACTATGAGTTATAGAGAAACTTCATCTATAAGATTTATCATTTTGTGAATGATCATGACACAAAGTATAAACCATTATAATATTACAAATAAAGCAGATATTAAAAAAATTCATTCCATTCTTTTGAGTGAACTAATCTTTTATTAAAGTTACGTTTTCTTCAGACATTGATTCTTTAGTATTATTAGATACGTGATGATAACGAATACAACTCGATTAGTACTTGATAATTCTTACCATTTATTGATTCCAACATCAGACAATTGTATCAAGTTAAAAAATCAGCCAAACAATACATTTCTATTATATTTCGGTTTGCCGAATTCTCCTATAACAACAATCGATAATGTCGCCGATACAGTAATATCCACAGCAGAATCAGAATTTGAATCAGATTCAAATAAAATGACTTTATCTGATATGTAAGTTAATCATCATTTTAACGACACTTTCCTTAAAAGTATACTTTAGAAATAACAATATATCAAATGATATAGTTTATGAAACATTTTTTTCTCGACTGTTACATAAGTTCGTTATATTGTATTTTGTTCAAAAAGATTATAATCTTTAATTTTAATACTTTTTTAGATTTTCAATTTTAGATGCATTACCTTTTGAAGAATTTCAATCAGAACTTTTTCTTCAAATTTGTGAAGACTATTTTTCGCTTGTTGGTAAATTTTGTATCATTTCAAAATATGAATATACGTATATGTGCGTCTATTTTTTCTATATGTTTAAGGTAAATTTAATAGTCCTATATTTACTCCATTGAAAACAGACGTCAATGGTAATATAAATGTATGTCTGCCATCGATATTGTAATATTTTAATTTTTGCATTCTTTTTTTCTTTCATTGAAGAAATTGAGACGGAAAATGAGTGAAAATTTGATTAATTTTCAAACACTATATGCAATGGTTCATGATGAAATTGAATCGCAGACAACCAATACCAGAAATTCAGCAACAGATGCTTTACTTTGGTTAAAACGGTATTGTTTTCTTTTCTACTGGCAGCTTTCGCTATTGATTAGTGTTTCTAGAACTTTTGAATTTCTATCAAATTTTCTATATGAATTTGGTATGGGCGATAAAACTTTAGCAGATGCTGTTAGCAGAGGTTATGAACAATCACTAAGAAAATATCACGGAATATTCGCCAGAAGTGTTTTTTCGGTAAGAGAAATATTTTTATTAATAATACTAATTTGATTAGATTTGTTTGTATACTTTTTTAGTTTGCACTTCGTGCAGTACCTAGCAATGAAGAATTTATTCGTTCACTTGCCATTGATCAAAATGATGCTTCTAAAAATCTCTTCGAGCAACAAGTGATTATCGTTCATTTTATTTTTAATTTTAATTTTACTATTTTTATTATTTAAGCTCCGCAAAGAAATACTCGCTCATGCGTCAAGTATGTCGTCTGTATTACAAAAAATTACAATGTTCTATTTCAAGCATGGACTTGAATCGACAGTAATCGTAACTTAGCTTTACTCTATTTTTATCATAAATTACGTGAAACTTATTTTTTTCGCGCTTTCAATGTAGCCGTACAACGGTGTTACTGTAGAGAAACATGCAACTACATCATCGCGTAGTTAAATCATCAAATCTGAATTGTGTTATGTCGTATCTGAAACACGAGTTTTAGTGCGACATCTATGATTTAATAAAATTATTTATTTCATGTTGAAATAAGATAAAATGACTTTATTGATGATTTTGTTTTTAAATCTATTTATAAATTTTCGAAACTGAGGTGAACATAATAGAGTGCAAATACGATATAATAATGGCGTTTAGTCTTTGTATGAATTCACCAGTAAATTTATTCTTTTGTGTTCAATTGTCAGAAGTATCTTGTTTGGTCTATATTCAGTGTTTGAAAGTTTGATTGTGTCTATGTAAAGTATTTTCATTTTAAAATGGCTTTACGAACTCCCATGAAGAAGACACAGATTGGTTCTCGAGATTTGCTTGCTAACGGTGGCGGTTGTCCTGTTGAAGTGAGTTGCTCTTGGTGCTCATAAAGATCTCATTGTTTTCTTTTCTTTTTTATTTCGAAAGGTTTTCTGTCGTTTGCGACCGCCAAAAGACAATAATAATAATGACCAAGAAACAGATAATTCTTCTTCATCTGTTAAAATTTTAACTTCGACAGAACTCACTCTTTGTTCATCAGAGGTAAACAATTTGATATTCGTTATCAATCACTCTTTATCTTTGTTTTAGAATGCGAAAAATGGGCAAATTCGAGAAGTAAGTGATTCTTTGTTCGTTGATTTTTATTGTAAATTATGCGATTCTTATTGGTTTAGTCTCATTATGAATTCTCTCATATTCTTACTGATGATGTTTCACAATCTGCTGCTTTTAAGGAATTAGCTATACCTCTTCTCGATGATCTCATTCAAGGAAAAAACAGTACGATTATCATTTTTTTTCACATAAATCTGTTTTATATAAACTAAAAACATCTAGGTGTATTGTTTACATATGGTATAACGGGTTCTGGAAAAACTTATACAATGATGGGTCCATTGAATAATCCTGGTTTAATTCCACGTTCATTTGATGTACTTTTTAATTCAATTGGATCATATCTTGGAAAGGAATATGTGAGTTAATTTTTTACTTTTTGGGTGTTTTCAATTAGATTTTTTTCAGCTTCTTCGTTCTGATCGTCAAAATGGTTATGAAATTCAAACTGAAGCTGATATATTACTTGAACGGCAACGAAAAGAAATTCAAATGGCGAAAAATAATAATAATCAGCGTGGAAAGTTAGTATATGTTGTTTGTAAACAAACAAAACCTATTAGTGTCATTCCTACAAGATTGAAACATCATGTAACTGCTGTTATTCATAACAGGAAAATTATTTTATTCTATCTGTTTACTTGAACCTTTCAATATAGAGTAAAGTAATAATTTATGTATTCTAACTGATCGATGAAGCCCCCTTAGGTCAGAGAATTTCGACTTGGATCGATTACAGAAATTGTCTATCGCATTCAAAGAACTCGTTTTAGTTGTCATTTTCTAAAAAGAAAATGATTTTTGTTTTCTAGAATGCTAGAAACAACGAATACTCGCATATTAGATATGACATCAATATGGAATGCACAATTAAATGAAAATTGTTCATATTTTGTTTTTGTTACATTTGTTGAAATTTATAATAATTATATTTATGATTTATTTGATGATGATATTCTCAATAAGTAAGATTTTATTTATATAAAAATGATAGAAATCAAAATGTTTCTTTGTAAATTTCTATAGAGCACCACAATCAAAACAATTACGTGACGATAATCGTGGACGACCTTATATACGAGATGTTAAAGAAATTGAAGTACGTTCAAGTGAAGAAGCTATTGGATTACTTAATATGGGTTTAAAACGACGTCGTATTGCACATACTCAATTAAATACAGAATCAAGTCGATCACACAGTGTTCTTTCGATGCGTCTCGTTCAATACCATAATGATATTCCAATGACGTCGCTTGTAAGATATAAATTGTTTTTTGTTCGCTTTTTTCTTGAAGATTATTGCTATAGACGAAAGATGATCTTATAACAAGTACCATTCACTTGGTTGACTTAGCCGGAAGTGAGCGCGTTAATCGAGCAAAAACTGTTGGTGAACGAGTTAAAGAAGCGAGTAAGAGACGTCTAATTTTTTTCATGGTTTCAATTTGAATTTCTTTTAAATAATCTTCAGGTAATATTAATTCATCATTAATGGTTCTTCGACAATGTTTTGAAGTTTTACGAGAAAATCAAGCTCAAGGTACAAGCAAGGTATAATTGTTCTTGAGATTATTGTTTTCATGTATTATAAATGGATATTAATAATTTAGATGGTACCATATCGTGAATCAAAATTAACATCATTTTTTAAAAGTTATTTTGATGGTGAAGGTCGAATACGAATGATTCTTTGTGTTAATCCAACTGCTGATGGGTATGAAGAAATACAAGTAAATATAAAATATATCTAGTTTTGTTGTGTTATTTAATATTTAAACTTTAACTTTAAAGCATGCATTAAAATTTGGTGAATTAACAAAAGATGTTATGGTACCACGTGCTTTACCTCCACCGCCTCCAGTTCCACCTAAAATGAATCGTGGTCACGTTCCTTTACGTGAAATCGATAATCAACAACAGCAGCCATCTGCACCAGTTCTCTTCACTGAATTCAAGTGAGTTATGTTGTATACTCTTGAGACTGTAAACAACAGCGTAGTTTGATTCTATTAAATGCAATAGTTTTGTACTATTGCCTGTGTTCTCTATTAAAATGTACTACAGACACGGAGTCATGCTCAAAGGATACTGGAAAAATATTTTCTTGGTTTTGTTAGAGTGCATGAAAGGATATTTTTTTCAATTGGACATTGAAGAGAAGATATAAACACTTAGAATTTTCAAACTATTGATTTTAGAATCAACCTATAGTCTGTAGGAAAACGCTTTCAATATCACACGCATTCTGGAAATATGCTGCTTAAAGTCTTAACCTATGCGAATTAAAACGGAGTAGCACCTAAATTTGTTGTTGGGTCACTTCTCATCTAAGAAAGTTTTTCTGATATTTTCTTTAAACTTATGAATCTATCAATCATAATAAATATACTGTTTTCATTACTTATAATATACAGAATAATCTTGATATTTGATGAAAGTAACAATACTTGATTGTATTAGTAATGTAAAATCTACATTAACTTTGAAAAATATAATTTTCTTCACGGTATCAAAATTGAATGAAGACTTATAAAACAGACATGTAACTTCGGAGAATAATAATTTATATCTGAGTAGCTTAGATTTTAAAAACAACGCAAACTTGTTTTCTATCTAGTGCACAAGCTTTAATTGCTCCATTTCCATCTCTTGAATATTCTCTATTGGATGGAGTTGGCGACGATGAAGCTATGTTAACTCTCGAGGAACATTTACGACGACGCATAGATGAACGGCATCGCCTTAATATGGTAAGAATTGATCCTTTGTTGTTTATTTTTTATTTTTTTTTATTGTAATGTATATTCTAGTTAATTCATGAGCAACACGATTATTTACATAAGTTTACTTTTGAATTAGTATCTGACTATGATTCAACAATATCTGATCACGATGAATTAACTAAAGAAAATGAACAACAAAGTAAAACGATTCGTCATTTACAAACACGCATAAAATTATTAGAAAAATCTCAAAATGATTTTTATAAAACAACAAATCAAATGGAGCGTGAAAATAAAACTTTAAAATCAAAAATTGAAGATCGAAATAATGAAATTAAAGCGTCGAAAACGGAACGACGAAAAGATAAAATTGATTTTGAAAATAAATTAAAGATAAAAATCAACGAACTTGAACAACAATATGTAAATCAACGATTTCTTATTCAATTGAGTAGATTAAAAAATTGAATTTATTTTACTTTTTAGCTTAATGAATTGAAAACTAGAGAAATACAAATGCGTGAACTTGAACGACAACATGATGATAAATTAAATATCATTCGATCAATGGCAGCTACTGCAAATACTCCAACAAATGAGTAATGAAATCGCTTTTTAGTTATGCGAATAAATCATTTTATTGAATATCTAATATTTATAGAAATGTTTATCAAAATCCATTATCAGTGCGCAAACGATGTCCAAGTGAAGAACGTATTCTCCAAGAAGTAATTTCATTCAATAATTATGGAAAGATTTTGATTTAAACCGTTTTTTTTCTAGGCATCTGGGCAATCACCATCGTCACGTCAAGCTCCAGCTGTACCACCTAAGTAAGTCCACATTTATTTAATACGTCCTTAATTTTGATTTTTCTAGACGATTTCGTATGTAAAAACACGAATTCTACATCGATCAATTTTCATTTTTTTTTCTGTACATTTTGACTTAAATAATGTCTAGTTTATGCGTATATATGTATCTTGTAGAAAAAGATAATAATTAAATAAATTTATTCTTAATTGTTGATCCTTCTGTGGTTTGAATTAGTTTTTAAATAAGAAGAAAAGTCTTAGATTGCTGAAGACCTTCAGCTAAATATAATCAAATTAAGAGCTGATACCATTGAAATATTTCTAAAAATAATTTCATTCGTGTGGCTTGAAATTAACATTTTATTTATTAATTGATATCAACAGTTTATTTTAATATGAATATTTTCGCAGTCGTAGCGGGTGTTTTTTATTAGAATTCAATCTCCTAGAGCATATCATTTTCAAGTGTCAATATATGAAAATTGTAATTGATCGATTGGAGTAAATAGCTGATAATCAGTCAGGTTGAAATTGACGATAAAAACATGACTTGATATCTTTGATGGTAAAAAGCTGCCAATATCGCTAAAATTAATGAAAAATATTCACTTTTTATGACTAAATCTATAAGTCGCCTACAAAAAATTGAGGAATAGTCTAATTTTGAAAAAAAAAGAAACAATTCATTATTAAATTCTTCAGTGATGAGAAGATGGTTTGTGATCATTTAATAAAACATTTGCAAGAAGCAAACTAAAATAATCCTACGTTGCTGAACACGATGAATACATAGGTTAGTGGAATAAAAAACAACGACGAAGAAGCAATGCTCGTCGATTATTTATTCACATCTTGATTGCTGAATCAGATACTTGTTTTTTGTCTCGTTTTCAAATTATTTTAATACGGATAAACTTGTCATGAATTTCCTAATTCCTAAACAAATCCGTTTCTATGCACGTAGCGTTCAATTTTTTTATCATTTTGATAAAAGAACTTCGGGTCCCAGTCAAAGGTATAGGCTGGCTTCCGATTGCACGTTTTTTAAAATATAGGAATCCTTAGAGAATCAAGGTTGTCAAAAATATAGGATTTTCGATAAAAAAATGGCAAAAAGAGAGGACTTTTTATACATCCTTTCTGTTCAATGGTTTTGGTGTATTTTAACTGCTCTGCTCGAAAATCGTTTTAATGAAGCTGTTATAAGCAGTTCAACTGTAGCAAAGATCCTTATGTAATTTTTTCTACTGAAATAAGTCGCTAATTCGAGGATCATTATAAAAGTTTTTCACAAATTGATAAATAACAATAAAGTAGATCATAAGCTTAGAAAAAATAAATACATGAAGACGACAAATACTATTTCTAATAATAAAAGGAGACGCTTCAGATTACGGACATGAGTTCCCAAAAAATCTCAACCTAATTTTATTGTTCTGATAATCAGCATTCATCGCTTATTATTTTCCACAGGCTTATTTTGTATTCTATCATAACTCAGTTTTTTCTGGTAACAAATAAATGTAAATAAAAATATAAATACATTGGATGGTGTAAAATTTCATGTGCTTTCAGAATATGTCGTTACTTTAAAAAAATGTTTTCTTTTGGTAACAATATCCTCAAAATACAGAGTGAAACTTTTTTCCCAGGGATATATTATATACAGCTTTTATATCTAACTAAAACTTCACTAAAAAGTCGAAACTAGTACATGATCACTTTGTGAATGTTTTTTTCTTTTGAACTATTTTGTATTCTGTGCTTAGTATTAAACAATTTCTCAGTCAACCCACTAAATAGGCGAAAGGAAAATACTGTTTAAAACAAATGTCACTATAATACAAGGAGTATACACATTAAAAGTTTTTTTTTCGTCTAAAGATAATAGAAAAATTAAGCGATTTTCGGAAATTTTCTACTTTTTTCGATAAAATATCGGAAAAATAGGACTTTTTTGAAAATATAGGAAATATAGGTCAAATCGCAGCCCAGAGTATAGGCTACACGTTCTTGTCTTCGATCTTCAATAACTTTTACTTCACATTTTCAAGACAGAACTGAATTAAATATAGACTTAACAGCTATTGACTTCTCCCTTGATTTTCGACAATAAAAACCACATAAATTGTTGGATAACTGATAATTGATAATCATTTCTCATCTTTTATATCTACATCCTCAGAATATATAGTTACTTTTTTCAGTGTTTCATTTTTATTTGTTTCTATTCGACTTTATCTGTCGCCAATATCTTGACTCAACATTTTTTACTATTAATTCAAGGATATATTCTGGATATTATTGTCTAAAAAGATAATTATTCTAGAGTTTTTCAAGTAGTGCAAGTTGTTATTTGACATTGAACGAACATGATTATTTTCTGATGTTTCTAAAAATGGCGTCTTATCTAACTGTAGCTTCTTGTAAATGTTCAATTTCTCTACATCTCTAAACGACCAAATATAGCCCACTATCGTGATGATTCTTTTTTATGCTTGTAAACGTGTCCTATAGGAACAACGAATATCGTTTATTTCTCTGTTTATCATAACGCCAAACATTTTCTTTTTGTTGAAAAACTTTATTTATTAAATGTTTCTATTGCTTTGTTATCCAGTAATTAGAAAAAGAAATTGATTGTGCATGCTAGTTAAACTAATAACATTGTAAAATTCATAGACAGTTTACAAAAGCTGCCAAAGAGCAGGAATAGCAAATGGTGTCCAATATGGTAATGATTTATGTGCTAGAATACATTGATAGATTTTATTTGCATATGAAACTCGGTCCCCAATTTTGTAGTTTTTATATTTTTTCCAAACAGGACTTTTATTACTGAATGGTTTTGTTGATGCTAAACGAACAGTAGAAATCGAATTAGTCGCAGCAATCGACGGTATTGATGTGGTTGTCGGATTGGATTCTAATGACTGTGTTATATTATTATTATTTAGTATTCTAAATGTAATATCAATTAATTCGTAATTATGATTCGTACTTAATTCCCAAAACATAGCACCAGCTAATTTTTCACGTTTTATATAATCACTTTTTATTGTTATCGATTGAGAATCATCATAACTAATCCATATACCTGTCGTTGGATTGTAGAGAAAAGGTACTTTAGATTCGCTATCCCAATGGCGTGTATATGTTGGTAAATAGCTTCTTTTCAAATGATCATAATCAAAAACTCCATTTTCCCACGTACCAATAGGTAGTTCAGCAGAAGCAGGCTGTGAAAATCCATTTAAATATGTACTATTTACTCCTATACGTGAAAAAAAGAAACGATTTATCTATTCTATAAAATCGACTATACCTTGCCAACCACGTCCATATAAACTTAAACCCATAACTAATTGTGAGCGTGGTATCCCAGCTGTGATATAACTCTGAATAGCTTCATGAGAGTTATATTTTGATTTCATAAAGGACGGAGGAACATCAGTTGTTGTTTCAGCATTATTTTTGAATAAAGGAGCATTATGACCAGTTTTTGTTTCCCAACCACCTAGAACATAAAATTGTAATTAAGCAATGCAAGTTTTCATAGCAAAGTACGCACCATGAAAATCATATGTCATAACATTTATCCAGTCAAGATAGGTAGACATGTTACGTAAATCCATATCAATAATACGTTCAGGACTTGCTCCTGCTCTATATTTACATATGAAATCAAATGAATTTTCATTAAAATAATTCTTTTCAGTCTGTTCTATCTTACGCAATAGTTAATAGATAATTTTTCCGATCAACTTTGCCGGCTACATCTAACTGATTCCGAAGTTCTTTTAACAAAAATAGATAATTTTGTTTATCTTCTGGCCGACGAATATTTGCTGGTAGGCCACCAGATACAGGATATTCCCTAAAAATTCAATAGATACGAATTTGAATACGTTGATAGAAGTGAATGCCTACCAATCGACATCAATTCCATCGAAGCCATACTTACGAATAAATTCTATACATGATTGAATAAATTTACTTCGACTTTCTGTGTTTACAGCTATATCAGAGAATTTTCCAGACCATGTCTTTAAATGTTTTTCAAAAACAAATGAAAGCAAGAAGAAGAAAAAAGAATATTTACCCATCCGCCGATGGAAATTGATGTTCGCAGATGTGGATATTTCTGTTTAAGTTTAAGTAATTGATTAAAATTTCCTCGTAATGGTTGATTCCATGTATCACCAGCAAAGGTTTTTTCAACATCAGCCCATGGATCACCCAAAGCAATTCGTCCATCAAAGCCAATATTAGCAAAAGCATAATTAATATGAGTTAGTTTATTTCCTTGAATATCACTAACAAAATATGTTCGAGCATAGATTGACCATGCTGCATAATATGCTACAATAAGTGCTACTCCAACCATGTTTCTTCTCCTTACTTTGTGTGTAATCGATACTAATTCCTGCCTTTTTGTACACGAAAACATAAAGAAAAAAAATATTTATTTCAGTTATTTAGAAAAACAAAATCCTTAAATATATTGGGAAGCCATTTTTTCGTCTGATGAGAAAAGAACATTTCATGACACTCGTATGATGAGCGTAGAATATGTGAAAATTAAAACCCATATACAATGGAATTTCTCGTTATTTTAAATGAACAAGAACCCTGAAAGTAATTTGATGACAAAGTCTTTCTGTTCAATACTAAAAATAAACTTCAACAAAGAAGCATCACAAACGAAAAATGATTGATTGTTTATCAAATATTTCAAATGAGAATAAGAGCGAGCATTATATTGCGAGGTTCGCCTAAACACATATAGAAGACAAGTCACTATGCAAGGATTTATCCTTACTGTTTGCATTGCGCAACTGATTTCTGCATGAATGAAACCTTATTTCGTAATTCAATTCAAGATATGATATCAAAAGTGAACCCGATTGGTTTTTTCGTCGTTCATCGTTTACCCATTTTTTAAGTCATATTATGACGAAGATTGATAGCAAAATATTACTATGTTGATTATTAGCTGAATAAAAACTACATTGCACATGAAATTATCACTTAAGTATAGAAAGTGAGTGTTGAATCTCGTTTTCTTTTATTGACGTGGAGCGATTTGGAAAAATGCGACAATAATTATAAAATGAAGTTTAAAATCTATTAGAAACGTTGTTAATTTATCTTTAACTACTTTTCTGCTAAGAAAAATGGAATTTTTCTATTGAATCAAAGTTGAGTGCTTCGATTTTCATCCACCTAAATCCACCACTAATAAAAATTCAACAGAAACATGAGTAATCTTTTATATCTCAACGGTAAACTGCGTCAAAAAATCAGCATAGTCGTAGTTTTGAATGGTAAGTTTTTGAAAATGTTCATTGAATTAACCTTTGTGTATTATATTTTTGTTATTTGCTGCTTTTAAATTCATTGTTCGTTGTTCGCATTCAATTAGATTTCTCAGTATCAATGTTAATTTATGCACTTTTATACAGAAATCTCTCGAAACTATTTAATTCAAACTTTAATAGACGTCATCTAAGTTATTTTATAGTTATCGAAGATTTTATTCGATTATTTCAGTTCTAATAAAATGACTATCAGAACATAAATATCATAAATCTATACTAAAATGGCATCGGTGTTCTGTAAAGAATTAAAGTTAACGTGCATGTTCAAAAATGCAGATGCTTTTTCTGAGCTCATTTACTTCATCCACTGAAGTGACTTACATAATTATATTTGTTCGTGTTAAAATTATGAAATATATATATATATATTTTTTATGAGATTTAATGGACGAATGGATTCTAAGTGAAAAATTATTGTTGATATGACGTTTCAAATAAGTTTTAATGAGCACGTTGTGCAAGTTGTTAATGTAACATCATTAATTCAACTAAATAGAATTAAATGATAAATAACCAAACAACCAGTATTAATCTAAAAGCATCAGACAAAATGAAGCAGAGTAACACCGATTAAATAATCAACCATAAATAACTATTTGTTTCGCTTTCAATGTTCGTATTAATAAAGAATGGAAAAAAATATTACTACAACGTATAGTTTTGATCCAACGCGAAAACAAGCAGGCACACATCGATGATGGAGCTGTGTCTAAAGATATGACGTGACGATTTATTTTGCAATTGTTCGAAAAATTAACTGTTATAAGAATGAGTTAACTGATTGAAATTAGATCAATAAGAAAAATCTTCTATGGCCGTAAGTCACACATATTTTCATACCATTTTCTTCTTATTTGACTTTTTGATGTTTCACAATTATATTAAGTAATCATTCATACCCTATCGATTTCTTTTTCTTTTTTAGTAGAATATTGCCACTAAGAGCTCTTTTTTCTAAACTGCGAATTGAAATGTTATTGTATTGGTTTGCGAATAATTTTGTGGTTAAATTTTATTTTCTGTTTGTACATCGACTGGTTGATAATTGTACAAGGATGGTTGTGGTAAAAAATAAAGTCTTATATGATAATATGCAGAGTCAATGACGAATTATACTCAACTTTTGCATATTGAATTTATCTCTATATGAGTACCTATTTTATCTTATAAACTTATTGACATTTATATAAAATTTTCATAGATAATATTCGATTGCATTTCGTTCATTTTAATTCAGAATGAACATGCCAAATTCTAGCATTATGATGGGTACTTCTATGAATGAATTTTGTTATTTCACATTGAAATCGCAATTGCAACTTACGAGGGAAGGTCACAAAGTGATCAATTGCTTTTTCGTTGAAACTGCTTACATTATGTAGCTCCCAAGGAGTTATGAATACGCTGAAAATATTTTGGGCGGATAGCCTATTGTTACCAAAATAGACCACTTCTAAGGTATGGGTTTTAGTGAAAGCCTGGGGACACTTTACATGGAAAGACGCCCTAAGGAGAACAACTTTTTGTGAACATTTCAGACCTTTCTACGTTTCCTATCACTAGACACAGTTATTGTGAAATTTTTATTTTACGCCTTTCAAATAAAGTGGCAGCACTTTATGAAAAAAACAAATTCAATGGCCAAAAATATTCATAAAACACTGTTCTCGTTGAGCTCTATTGATATATAAAATTTCAAATCAAAATTCGAAAATCAATTTTTCTAATGTTCCTGAGGGGGAGTACGGCAATCATAAAACAATGCCATAAAAATGGTCTATTTTCGTAATGATAAGCTATCCGTCCAAAATATTTTCAGCGTATTCATAACTCCTTGGGAGCTACATAAAACATGTAGTTTCAACGAAAAAGCGATTGAACACTTGATGGTTTTCCCTCGTTAGTAATACTTAAAATTGAACGAAACAAGTCCCTTTCAGCCAAAGACTACGAAACTATTAGGTTCCGGTAGGCGCCATTCACCCTATAAATTTACTCATCATATCTTGCTGACAGATGATCTATTCTATTGCAGTAAGATATTGATTTTACTTCGTTGAAATTTATATTTATATTCAATTCTTCTTCGTTGATCGTCTATCCTTAAATTGAAATTCATTTACTGCCTTTACTTTTAGTGCTATTAAAAGATGCTTTTGGTTGTTTTTATTATTCATATATCAGACTTCTTTTTAATGATTATTGATTGAAATTCAATATAATCCACTCTATTATTCTTCCATGTATTTGCTTTCGTTGAAAAAAAATTATAATCCCTGATGATGAACCATATTGTAAAAGATTCTCGATGATTTTCAGAGTGCATATTGCCTTTTAAAGCTTTTTTTCTGAAGCCTACGGCTATTTTATGTGCCAAAAAGAATTTCTAGATCGATCATATCGAACTAATTAAATTGCTTGATAAGTATTCAATTATAAGTAACAATTATCTCATTCTCCTTTCTTTCTCATCATAGGCAAGCTCATTTGATTTGAAATTAGAATAATTCAATGAAATTTGTTTTTCAAGATTCTTGTAACGTAATTAATAATTAGGCTAGATTTATCCTGAAGAGTGCTTCTAAAAATTATTTCAAATTGAAATTGCTTTCTCTTTTATGAGACTATCTACGAAATTTCTTCTCTGAATCATAAAGTATTTGCTTGCAAATTGTGAATTTATCTTTGTAAAAAAATCGTCGAATGTTATGATTGAAAAATATTTCTAAAGAACAAAAGAGGCTCGTTTTTATTATACACATTGTTATCAATTTTTGCTTCATTTCTCAATTTTCTAAATCAAGATCTCAATCTATCCATTATTAGCATTTCCATTCATCATTATTATTTGCTTAATATGCATTAACGGTAATAGTTCAAATATTATCGATCGAGCAATCTTTTCAATAAATGCAAATATTATTTTGTTTTTCTATTAATAGATTTTCTTTTCTCGATAAAAGCTTTTTTTACTACTGATTGAATAAATAATAGTATTTACGTTTAGCAAGAAAAAAACCTAAAATAAAAACTAGAACATATACGTCATATTCGTTTAGATTAAAACATGAATTTGTTTTAGTGTGACTTTTGATCAATTTATAACTGCGAAAAATATATGATTGATTATCATTATCATCTTTGTAAATGTAATTTTATTTTTTCGTGAAATTTTCCTTGTTGTCTTCGTTATTTTTTGTTTCATCATGAGTGACGCTTTTTTCTCAAGCAACACAGAAATCTAAATGCACTTTTAACATTGAGTATGCTCAACAAGAAAACATACTCATCTAATATCAAAAACATTGTCATTCCATAACACGATCCGAACAAGAACAAGAACAAGAACAGCGATGTCCTATTACCCTAGAGGTTGAGCAAAAAAACTGACAAAAAAGAAATATGAAAGAATGAACGTTTCATAGAACAAAACAAAAATGACAGAAACATACGCTCAGAATTGCTAGGAAGTTTGTAATTGATTGCTGGTTAATTATTCGATTTAAATACACAAAAAATATTGGTTGTTTATATTGAAAATACATTCGCTATATCAATACTAATTCATATAAAAGAATCACATCTAACTGATTATGCTGTAGAAGATAAATTCTCTTTATTTCTTTGATATGAAAAAGAAACCTTTTCTATAGAAAAGGTTTCTCGAATTTAGTAGTATCTATCTTAGTATTCATTGATTATGTGTACCATAATAAATGAATTCAATTAAAGTGAACGATGAAAATGATGGTAGCATAGTTCTTTTGTATCTATGCCAATTGAAGTGTCGATTCTTTTTCTTGCTCGTGTCTTTTTGAAAGCTACATTCAGAAATATCTTCATCTCCTTGTTTCCTAGTCGATTAATGAGAACACTGAGTCGAACTTTTTTTGTTTTGTTTTGTATATGCAACTCAGCACTAATGCTTAGTCTGTATTTGTATGAACCAGAAGGCATTTTTCTTCCTTCTGTCGTTAACCATCGTGCTGTTGCTGTTTTCATGTAATTAAGCATTCTCGTTTTTCTCCTTTCCAAGGTGAGCATATCTTTTTTTAGCGATTCTTTTAGTTGAAGCTATCTTTAGTTGGTGAGACTAGTTTGTCGTGTATTTGTTCATCTATTGTAATCTGCGAGTCTCTTGAGTAGCAGATGAGTTATCAGCTTCATTCCACTTTTTTGGTCCTAACACATGATAAAGTCAGTAGTACGAGAAGAAAAGAGATAACCAATATGGAAATCGTAAAAAGCTTGAACGAATAAAAGTAGGAGGAGCCACACATCGACGTTCCCAGAAAACGGAACACATACATGCATACGTAATACTGTCATCAAGAATTTGTATATTGTAACCAAGCCCTTTTCTCTCTCTCTCTCTCTCTCTTGACGACGACTAAAAGGGAACAAACAGAAAAAAAACAAAGAGTAGACAGAACAGCGCGTTGTCAAACAGAAGAAAAGAAAAGAGAATAAAATACGACTCATAGAATTCTGTGTATTATTGTACGAAGAGTGGTCTCTTGTTGCATCCGAGCAGTCTTCTTGTGCTTTTTTTGCTACGACTATAGAGGACTACAATCAATGTTGCATCGTATCGTAGCTACTCTTAGCCTGACAGCGACATTATTTTTTTCGGTCGTTGTAACACCGCTGGCGTCGAAGCAAGAATGCAAAAAAAAGAAAAGAATAATGAACATACCTCTTCTGCTGCAAGCGATGAGAGAGAAAAAGAAGAAAAATCAATTTTCTATTCCTTCTAGTTGGATATTACAACGTGCTATGTTTTTTGCTCTTCGTTAAATAAAGATCTCTTTTTCTTGTTTTTTTCTCTCTGTTCTATATCACAAGTAAACGAGAATCGTCGTTGTCGTGCTGCCATCGTCACCATTAGAGAAAATACTCTTCATGTCGCTGTGTCAAAGAGAAAGATAAGTTGCTGCTATTTGCCTTGTGTTATTGTATATCGCGTTCGCGCCTAGTCGAACCTCTCCTCTCTCTCTCTCTATTGCTCGTCTCTCTCTTGTTCGCGCATTCTCCTTCTCTATCTACGACTGAACAGCATCGCACAGAGACACACACATACAAATACATTCATACACGCGTACGCACGAATCCCGGTGTTGACCAAAAGAAACAAGAACAGCGAACAATTGTCGTTTCGAACCTGGTACACAGGTCGATTATAAAAGATTCAAACGAGTGGAAATTTAGGACATTTTCAATTCCATTTTTATCATAATGGTAAGTGTTGTTAAAAATAAAAAACCGGATATCCCTTTTTTTTTGTTTTTATTAAAAAGTAAATATCAAGCAATTATCGTTTTTGTTCTGTTTTTACGTCAATTTGACACCCTAGTTGTAATGCTCATATACTCTTAAGATTCATTTAAATGATTCTTAGAGAAGAAAATCTTTGAAGAGAGCATTAGCAAAAAAAGAGTCTATTTACTGACTTTTAAAATAAGTAAAAGTACTCACTTAGAAATTATTAACAGATAAACTAAATTAGACTTTTAATAAAATTCTTTTATTTATCTACCTGTCAAAAAAGAAAATACTATTATGCCATCAAAAGACATCTGATACTTTTGTTAGATAAATAAATACTAATACTACGAATTCATGATGACAAAATCTGTCCAAATAATAAATAGTTTTTGTGTGCATGTGTGTGTTAACATTTTTAAAAAGCCTCTGTGATTCTTTGTTTTTAATATTTCGAAGCTATGAAATAGGCGATTATTTCCTTTAGGAAGAAAAGAAAAAAAGCAGATTAATTTCGTGTTACAGTCAAATTGAATGATATTGATCATTAGTTTAAACATAAAACAAATATATAAAACTAGTCGGTGTGTTTTTTCTCGTTTTTTTTGGTATTATGAGCAAATTATCGCGTGTTCGCATGTGTCTAGGCGATTTCTTGGGCGCCAACTGATTATGACATACAGATAGAAGAGGTCGAAACTACTCTCGCTTTTTCTTCTTCTTTTTTTCATAAAGAAGATGAGGCGTCGTTGCGCTCGCGTATCTTAATTGATTATACGAGAATGTGTGTAGAAGCACAGAGAGAGAGAGAGAGAGAGAGAGAGAGAGAGAGAGAGAGAGAGAAGCCTAAAAACAACACGATATAGTACATCCGATTCTTGTTGTCGCCACTACGAGTGTAGTATCATCGATAATATCGAGCGAATGAAAATAGTATAGAGAGCATAAATATGTCTTATTTGTGCATGCTGGTTAAGGACATATGTTTTCATTTATTTTTAATATTTTTCTTATTGTTAGTTTTTCGCAAACATAATATTTGACCTGTTGATGATATATTTTTAATTTGTTAAATAATCTATCATGCAGATGAAACATGAATAATATATTGATACTAACGAGGTGTTTTACTCTCATTGTCGACTGCTTCAAGATAGATGTTATCATCAATACTATTTTTAAACTGCAAAACCTTTCTTTCTTTCTTTTCTTTTCTGATTTATAACAAGAACACTCATCATATTGTCAACAAGGAATACGATGCTGACAACATGACTTTAAAGATTATTTTTCTGCTTACAATCGAAGTTAGCCGAATTAAGAAAGCACTAAAGTAATTGATCGAGATATCTTTTCAATAATATTGACATTAATATGCTAGCCGCGAGGGACTATTATCAAATTGAATGATTTTCCGAATGACAATTGACAAGCATCGTAATCGTCGCCCAAATTGTTAGTCTGAAAATTCAAACAATTCTATAACGCAGTTAAAACTTGATCACTCAAGACGATTTATGTTTATTTTGCTTGAATAAAAATGTTGTATAATATTTATTTGAGTATTGAAATGAGCATAAGGAATTCTATGAATTTTTCAAGTATGAGTTAAATATATACGTATATATATATTTTTTTTTCTTTGATTCTCAGGCTGATCAATTAACTGAAGAGCAGATAGCCGAATTTAAAGAAGCTTTTTCCCTGTTTGACAAGGATGGCGATGGAACAATTACTACCAAAGAGTTAGGTACAGTCATGCGTAGTCTCGGTCAAAATCCAACAGAAGCTGAATTGCAAGACATGATCAATGAAGTTGATGCTGATGGTAAATTCCGTTTTTTTGATCAATCTCAGTGTCATTTTAATCCTTTGTTTTTTTTATTAAGGTAATGGTACCATCGATTTTCCTGAGTTTTTAACAATGATGGCACGTAAAATGAAGGACACAGATTCAGAAGAGGAAATTCGCGAAGCATTCCGCGTGTTTGATAAGGATGGAAATGGATTTATATCAGCTGCTGAACTTCGGTATGACAAAAAATATGTAAATAAATCTTAAGATTATCTATTTTATTTTAATGATTTTTAGACACGTTATGACGAATTTGGGTGAAAAACTCACTGACGAAGAAGTCGATGAAATGATTCGAGAAGCAGATATTGATGGAGGTATGATTTGAATTTTTTCTAACGCAATTTTCATTTTTCTCTATTACCATTCAATTTTAGATGGGCAAGTCAATTATGAAGGTACGATAATGAAAGTTTCAAATTATTATTATTATTATTATGTTTTAGAATTCGTAACAATGATGACCTCGAAGTAATGACGATGCGTCAATATTTTTGGTCTTATTCTTTTATTACTTTTTTTCTGATGTATTTTGTTCGAATGAGCACTCACTCTTCTTGTCACATCGATAAATCGGATGGATGAACGTGTGGCTGATCTTTATCATTTTCTTTTGTTCACATTATTTTTCTTTTTTTTGTATGTATGCTTGTGTGTGTGCGTGGTGAGTCCTCTCTTTCTTATATGTCTGTCGATTTTGTCTATCAGAGCGTTGAAAGACGCTAATAATATAAGACATAAAACAAACTAGTTATATGCACAGAATTAGTTAACATGACTTGAAGTATTTCAGCTTATTTTCTTATAATTTGTCTAATTTTATGATAAGCATTAATCTTCATCATATTGATGATATTTAATGATGATCAATGAGAAATATTTACAAACCTAAATCTTGTTGTATATGCTAATACAAAAAAAGCTTGTTTAGTTATTAAATGAATATTTTCTTGAATCTATCAAGTACATACAATTCATGTTCGATAAATTAGAATATAATTTTCAGATATCATTAAAATAGTAATGTAAAACTATGGATTTGATTGTAGAAAAACAAAATACTTTTCTCATAGATTTCTTATTTTATTTAATTTCATCATTATTATTTTTTCGTAGTATTATTCGTCAAACAAATTTGATATTTTATCTTAACGATTGATTATTAATAGTAAATGATTATATTGCGAATCATATAACAAATAAAATGATGCCATCGTATAGTAATCAACGAAACTAGCTATATCTATATATAGACGGTAAGTAAATAATGAAAAGTACTTCTTATGTATTTTAGAAGAAGAAAAAAAATACAGGTCGTCATTTTTCCGACACATTTTATCAGATACGATCAAAAACAGAATTAGAAAGATTACTTGATTCGAAATGTTCTTTAAGACTTGCTTGTTTTCGTATACCTTTTCTTTGTTTCTATTGGAAAAAATTGATCGTGACGAAACTATATCGGAAACAGACATTTGTTTCTTTCTTTGATAGAAGCAAAAACTTTACTTTTTCTATGTAGCTTAAAAGCCTTCTTTAATAATATTTGCTCTTGTATCAAATTAGTCAACTGAAAGAAAAATAAAAATTCAAGGAAATATGCAGTTGTAACATTATGTCACTAGAATCAATATCGATCGAGTCATGAAATTATCTGTTGACTACATTTTTCAGTAGTTCACTTGATGAATATCAAAATCAGTTTTCTAGAATTTCTAGAAAACTAGTAAGGATAAATAAGCTCAAACTTCGCATCGATGAACATCAAAAAAGAAAATTTGTGTCAACATGAACAGATACGATCGCATCAGTCGTGCGTCTATATACTGATTGATATGAATTATATATGAAGATCTAAATAAATAATTGTATTTTTAAATATAGAGATCTTTCTCAAATAGAAGTGCTAAATTGAAATGTATTTCCATGCAAAGCATAAGTCAAGCGAACTTCTGCGTTTTTCTTTAAGTAAAACATACACGTTAGTATTTGTCAAAAGACTAGTTTGTGTTTTTTATTTAGCTTCGACATTTGGAATTATATTTTTGTCATAACACTTATTTTAAATCAAATTATTTAACGAATAAATCTAATATAATTTTTACTTTCACTGTTGCAAAATTTTGTTCATCGTAGCTATGTATTTAAACATCAAGATATAGAAAGGCAAACGAATCAGTCAACCATAGTTTCACACCGGTTCTTGAATTACATATTAAATGATTATAAACAAATTCAAGTGGTCGATACAATTAGATCATTTCGAAGATGAAGAATATGACTCTAAATGAACATAAATGTTCCAACAGGAATACATAGTTGATATTCTGTACTAGAGTTCCACCCAAATCACTAAATCTGTCTGCTTGTGACTGTGAAAGACGCAAGTCACACTTTTTAGGCCTGAATTTTCTACGTGTTTTGCTCAATATGAAGATTTGATGGCATGAACTGAATTTAATTCTAGAAAACAGATTTATTTGTGTACTTTTCAAGGATGACAGTTAAATATGGATGCAGAATGGCATTACTGTAGCTGGAAGAAATGAATTTAGCAGTGAGATGAACCAACTCTATCCTCTATGGAGTTTGTTTATTGACGACGATCAAGCTATCTATATTGCTGGATAAGAGTCAAATCACCGTGTCGTGGAATGGAAATATGGTGCAACGGCTGGTCGACATGGGGCAGGTGGAAATGGGATAGGAGATCATCTCAATCAGCTGTATTATCCGAGATATGTGTCGGTGGATCGAGAACGTTCCGTATACTTATCAGAGTACTACAATCAACGTGTAATGAAATGAACAAAAGGTACGAAGCAAGGAATTGTTGTGACTGATGGTTATGGTCAAAGTTGTACGTAATTATCAAATCTTTCTAGAGTTGTCGTAGATCAGCTAGATAAAACCCATGTCGCTGACTATGCGAGCTGAGTGATAGTGGAAATAATCGTATATAAACGTTGAATATTAATAAGCATTAATGATTTTCTTTCAAAGTGACATTCCTTCAGATATCATCAAGAAACATACGAAATGAATTCGTTTTCCTCAATTTTAAAAAGAGTGCTTTCTGACTTATTTTGCGACTATCTCAATATTATAGTTTATTAATAGCGTTAAAAACTTGTTTGATCGTTAGTGAATTAACGATTTTCCCCGTATTGTAAAAAATTAATTTTTAACATTTAGTAGCTATAAATAATTCAAGTTTTGATATTGGAAAAAGCAGAGACACAGGTAGAAAAAGCTACCACGCGTATATTTTAACGTAGGCTTATTCTTAAAAATTATCAATGACAAGAAGAACCTTACAAAGACGACACGAATGAATCATATAATTCTACAATTTACGAAATCCTACTAGATTCAATGAACAGTGTCAGAAACTAAACTGTCCGTTTAATATTCAATGAAAGATTTCTTGATTTTGTTTTCTTATTCGTTCTTTTGAAAATCCTAAAAAGAAGAAGTTCGATTAACAGAAAAAAATTCACCAAAGATTCAAGTTGTTACAAGGCAGACTCATCTAAAAACATGAAAAAAAGCAAGATTAAATGTCTAATAGGTAGTTCATGTTTTATTGATAGATTTACTTTTCCAATAAGTCATCAAGATTGTATATTAGTCGAGGTGTGTTATTATCTTTAGGATTATTTCGGTAGATACTGAGTTGACGAGTATGAAAGTTAAAATGAGCCGTACAAAGTGTTGCTAAATTAATATCAGTTGTTCCACCCATGAAAAATATTGGAAACTTTTCATTGGTTCTATCACCCAACAGGTACAGTGCATCTTTGAGAGTGAATATTTCGCCTATTTCAAGTGCACGTTGAGCACGATTTCGACTCCAAAAGAGTGGTTCTCGTTCAACAATTAATCCATTCGATCGATCATAATGATTAAAATGATTCAGATAATTTAAAGTAAGACAAACTGTACCTAAAAGAGCAAAATGATGATGTTTACATTTCTGGACATGATACCGATCTTACCATTAGTTTCTTGATAGCGATGATATTGTACATTGTTAACAACGAGACATTTACTTACAAAATTTTCCTTACTATTCAATCCTGGCCCTAGCTCATAATTAAGCAGATGGCATGTCTCATGATTATGTTCACGAAAAAATGCACCGTTGATACAGAAAGCATAAGCAATAGGTACTGTGTGAACTAATTCATCTAACTGATTTTCATTGGCAACCGAGAGTAGTGCTCGATTGATGATTAGTCGTGGGACGCCATTTTCTCCGACAAAATTCGGATAGAGAGCATTTAAGGCATAAGCAAAACCATGCATATTGGCACCAAATGCAATTCCTAAAACAAAAACACAATCGAACACATTACGGTTTCTTTTTCTTAACATAAATTTGTTGTTGTTGTTGTAAAGAAAATTAAGTAATATCTCACCAGGAATAACACCAGCATAACAATAGGCAATAAATCTTTCGTTTGGACTATGTCTAGTGCCATCATCGTAGGAACTCGATTTAATGTCTGCTTCTACTAGATAACCAGTTTCATAGAGACCAGCTGTGTTGTCTTCATTATGCACTAATGAAAGAGTATTAGTATCAAGTCGATTGATCAGTACGGTACTGCATCCTTTGGCATCATTCTCATTGTCTTCTTGCTGATAATTTCCTTGTCGTGCTTCATGAATACGATAAGCTGTTTGAGTTTCATTTTCAAAATTGAGTACAAGTATTTGTTCTAATGGAACTTTAGAGCCATCGGCAATACCACGAATCTCATCCCAATACCATGGAAACAATTTGCGAATGATTTCGACGAAATTTTGATGCAATCTAATACCCTTTGACGTTTGAACAAAATTAAACATTGGTGTCAAATAATTTCGATCATCTTCGATACGTTTTCTAATCAGATCTCGACATGTAATACCTATATGTCTCGCACATTCATAGTGAGTTCCTTGTACATGGTATAATCGAATATCGTTCGTTGCCATCGTATGTTGATATTTGACTTTTCTACTAGCTAAAAGGAAAATGCAAAGGACAATCTATGTCATTTATACGAGAAAGGAAAGATAAAGTGATATACTGCTTCGTTATTACTGTATGTGTATGCTTTTATTCACATGCACCTGCTGTAGGATATGTTGGTTACGCAAACGAATCGAAAGACTAAGAAAAATTAATTTCTCAAATAGGTCATAGTATAATATGCACAAAAATCGTTCATTATTTTTTGTGGTAGTTTCGATTACTATTTATAAGTTACAACAAATTATAGCATTAAAAATTCTATATGAAGACTTGTAATTATTAGTTCAAACTGAAATTGAAGCTGTGAATCATGAGAAAAACTGCCTGATGACGATCAAACAAAGACAAGATGTTTCTCTAAGATATTGAGTTAATTAAATAATTGACGAAAAGAATCATGTTAATATTTTTTTGTGATGATTTTAATCCATCCAAAATAGGAGAAAAAGCTACCCAATTGTTATAGTAGTATGCAGCTGGGAAAAACAGCATATTGAGTATCTAATTTGGTTGTAGTTAAAAGAAATAATCTCGTGCTGAAACATCCAAACGCAAATATAACTTTATCGCTTTAAAACTTAGTTAGATACAAATTTTACTTGAAGAATAACTCAATATTTTCAATTATTCAGACTATATCTGCAACTGTAGTTATATTTAATTTTGATTAATCTTCATTGATGTACTGTGTTCCTTTTAGTAATATGCGTTAATTTCGAAGAATTCACTATAAATTAGATTTAACCTATTTAATTTTCTAAAAATGCAGCCCTTCTACTTGTTCCAATGAGTAGACAAACATCAAAGTCTGATTCGATAGGGCTACACTGCAAAACAAAATCCGCAGAATAATAAACGAAAAAAACGTTTTTGATAGGATATTACACAAAAAAAAGAGTTTTGTGAATGTGCAACGTGACGCAAACCCTTTTTTCTGTGTATGAAAAAGATGATAAACATTTTTTTCGTTTATGATTTTGAAAAAACGTTTATGTCCAGTTTCAAATTCATAAGCCCTCATTTTTACAGTGGTCAGTCATTAGCACAAGTTCGTAGGTTAATATTCTGTTTTATAGTTCGCACTATATTTATTATATGTCTAGCCATTGTTTAGTAGTTTAGAAACAGCATATTCAGAGTTAAATTGAAGAGTAAAATCTTATTGAGTTTTGCTTAGTAGCATAAATCACAGAATCCTGACAAACAATAATTATGTGTATCTTTACTATTTAATAACTATTCTCAGATTTCTCAAGACAAAACTATTCTGACAACGTGAGCGACTTCATTCAATTGTTTATCCCGATATATTTATATTTTCTTCTTATACCATTTTAATTGTTTGAACGCTGCTAACACTGTATCTTATCTTCATATGCAGTTCATGTTGATAATAATGTATTAAATAATAGCTTCAGAGAATTCTACATAGACAGCTTCACTAACATTCAATATTAATTTTATTCATCTTTTATTTGCGCAAATGATCTCCTACGACTGATGAGCTGGATTTGATGGAACTTAGCGGCTAAGATTAAACAATACTTTTTTTATTTTTATAAATATTTTATGAATCAAAGTTCTTTTACAATCTATTCCAGCAGTAGAAGCTGTGGGCGTAGGATGGATAATTAAAATAATGAGGAATAAAACAACATCCTAGAGCTCCTGAACTTCTATGTGTTTCTGGAGATCTGAGAGTTGTACGCCACAGCATAATATAAATCTATTTTCTATAAATCAAGAGCTCTGATTCTGCCGGAGCTCAGAATTCACGAGATCCAGACAGGTCTCAATCGGTACGATAGCTGGCACCACCTTAGTTTTCTTTTTTTTTCATTTCACTACATTTTTTAGTAAAACACATGATCATATGAATTTATCTCTAGTCGAATCATAACTTTCTCTCGGTAAAATCAGGATTCCAATACTGCCCGAAAAAAAACCTGGTCTGTATTGGAATTCTAATTCCGACCAGACAAAATTAAAATTGCAATTTTGCTCTAAGTATATATTTATCTATTCGATCTAGTCCGGCTATTTCATTTTTGTAATTGTGTTTTTTGTTTGTTTTCAACTTATTTATATGTATTAACAACACTTAATCAGATATAAAGAAATAAAAGATACCAATTGTTGTAGGTGGCTGAGAAACTGTCTAAAAAGATCTTTTTTTAAAGATAGATACTAGGCGAGGCGGGACGAGGCAGAGATATTCAACTTGTCAGCATAGTTAGGTGGTGACGGGTCATGTTTTTGACTGAGTCGCGGATCTCTGATCCATATTATCATTAATAATTTCAAAATAAAATTTAATTAGCGAATAAAATAATTTCTATTTAATATTTTACATTATTTCAATTATTGGGAGTTTTGCATCAAATCTACATAGTAAATATCAAGAGCTGAATCGGAACCCTTGTCCACTCTCCCCAAATGACTCCTTGGATATTCGTCTGGGGAGAGTTGATTAGGAAACAGTTAAATATCAACTGTTGGATATCTCGCACAATGATAACAATGCTGCGTTTCTAGAATACAGTGTATGATAGTATGATTCCAAACATGTTGAATATGCATATATTTATAATCAAATTTTCTTGTAAATAAAACATTTCTCAAATTCGAATATTTATTACGCATTAAATTAATAGATTTAGTTAAATTTACACTTATCGGGGTGTTTTGAAGCTAAAATTGAAATGAAAAAAATTGTCAAGAATTGCATCGAATGTAAAAAATATCGAATCCTGAAAATTCTTGAGTCTGTAGAATGGTACTTTCCTTCCAAATAGTGACCATCTGCATGCAATAACTTTCAAAATGTTTAAAATTATTTATATTTATAAAACTCTAAAACATAAAATTATTTATTTATATATTAACCCGGGTTGTACGTTTGTGTGATTCTTCTCTTGAATCCACACGCTTGCCCTGTATGTACCCTAAAGACATTGATATTATTGTAAACTGAAAAATAATGTCCATTTGTAAAAATAGACATTTCTTTACTAAAGGCTTCGTAACTCCTTTGGCGTGTGTCTTAGACTATAATTTATCTTCTTAATACAGCAAATAACTTTCGTTATTTCAACTGATAAAAGCGAATGAAAATGAAAACTGACTAAGGCATTAAAAACAGAAATTAAACATCCATTCAGAAGTTGCACTCTTCGATTTACAAATAGACTTATTATTTCAAATGTTTATATGTTGTTTTGTTTATCATGAAAACTATTTTGAAAAAAAGAACGTCAAACATGTCTGATGTGGTGTAAACTTTTTTCACAATATTCATCATCCGTTATGATTATTGCAAGAAAGCAAACAAAAGTTTGATGACAAGACATAAACACAAAGATTCTAGAACATACAATAATTGATTGATCTTTTCTAACCAAAAACAAAAGCAACAACAACGAGAATCAAAACGAACACGAGCACTGATCATAATAATAATAATGTTTGAAGAAAACGAAATGTATGTTTGTTTGTTTTCAAAACAAAGAAAAAAAACAAAGTTGAGACAAACGCAGGCTTAAATACGTTAAAGAGGCTCTAGTCATCAATAGTAATTGTGCCTGATCGTTTAAATTTTTTATTGGCTGGTGCTAACGAATGATGAATAGGAGACGTTAATGGACGTTTCTCACCAACTCCATTCGATAAAGGATGTAGATCTGTAGCTATTGAAGACGAAGATAAAGAAGGTACAAGTAATGGCGGAGGCGGAGCAGGCGACGCAAATTCATGCGGAATGCCACTTGTGGCAGCGGTTGCTCGTGATCTCAATGTCATTCCATATCTTTTTGGTGTTGTTGTTGTTGTTGTTAATGGATACTGATCAATCAATTGTGTGAGTGTTTCATCGCTGAAGTCAAATGAAGATAAAGAAGACGAATCATTCGTTGGTGGACATGGTGCGTGTCGACAACGGCATACACCGTTACCACATAAACGACGAGTATGTGGTAATGTCGACGGGGGAATACTAGTTGGCACAACAGCTACTGCTGATGTTGTTGTAGAACTTGATGTTGATGAACATGAATCCGTAGATTTTTTTGTGTAGCGACGTCGTGCCAGTAGTCCATCAGTGACAGATGACAATTGAAATTGACCGGCTTTTTGAAATGCACGCATTGTAATATTAACAGCACGAACCTTTAAAATAGAAGATAATAATTGTCTATCTAATTTTACAAAAATACATACAATCAGAGATCGAGATGCTTGAGAAAGGATATTGGGTGTCAGTAAAAGTTGTGGATGATCATGTGTTGTTGATTGACTTGAGCCTCGAAGCCATGAGTTCCTTGTTAAGTCTTTAATTGTCAAGCGTCTTGATGGATCAACAGTTAACAAACCTAACAGATACAAATTCTTCAAATTACAATTGAAAAATCTATCTACGTAAATTGCTCACATTGAATTCACACATGCTCTTTTTAATTCTCAGCAAGGTCGCTAAGAATTCGTACTTTGTCAATATTGATAAAAATTTCAAGATAAGTTTTATGACTAAGATCTTTCGAGTCAACGTAATACAAGAAATTATGTTTTTCATTTTACTATTTTATTCAATAATAATTTGTTTATTTTGAATGCATAAAATAAACGAAAATGACTCGATTTCTTTTTACTCAAGTTCTATCTCTAACATACAGTTTAACATCGCAAACTGATGTTTGTTTTCGTCTTGCATACAAATTTTCTCACAAAAAATGAATCAAACCTTTGACAAGATCTTTGGCTGCTTGTGAAACATTTTTCCATGCAGAAGAATCATACGATAATTTTGAGCGTGTTATATCTTCAACAATTTCTTCAGCTGTGCGATGAGTTGTTATAGAATTAAAAGGAACTTCTCCACTTAACATTGTATACAAAATAACGCCAAGAGACCATAAATCACATGATTCATCATAACCATAGGTTGTCGGATTTGTATTTGTTGTTG